CACCCTGACGCCGCTTCCTGTTCCTGCTGCCGTTTCTCTTGCTGACCCCTCCGGCGGCCCGGTAGTCGCCCGCAGTTCCACCACCCTTCCCTGTCCGGCGGTTCCTTCGGGCTCTCTTACAGGTCTGCATATCCCCTCGTTCTCCAGGAACCTAGTTGGTGTCGGCTGCCTCCAGGACCTTGGTGTCACCACTACGTTCCCTGGTCACGAGCGGTATGCTGTCTGTACCGAGGCCGCCACTGGTGCCCCCCTGTCCACGTTCCCCCGGGACCCGGTGTCCGGCCTGTTCACTCTGGACACCGTGCCCCCCCCGGCTGGAGCGCCCCCTCAGGTGGCTGTGTCTACCCAGGTTGCTGCTGCCTGCTCCTGTCGCTCCCTCACTCACCCGACCCTCCTGTGGCACCACCGCCTAGGTCACCCTGCGCTCCCGCGTCTGCGTCACATGTCCCAGCACGGTCTTGTCCTTGGTCTCCCAGGTTCACTCCCCGCGTTTCCCTCCTCCCCAGCTCCACCTTGCACGCCTTGTGTCGAGGGTCGGCTTCGCCGTGCCCCTCACTCCTCCTCGTTCCCCCTACCGCCGCGCCGCTGCAGACCCTGCACCTGGACGTCTGGGGCCCCGCCCCCGTCCCTGGGCCGCGTCGCGAGCGCTACTTCCTTGTGCTTGTCGACGACTTCACTCGTTACACCACAGTCTTTCCCCTGGAGCGCAAGGCCGACGTGCCTGGCGCCCTCATCCCCTGGCTTGTCTCTGCGCGTGTCCACCGCGGTCTCCCTGTCTTGCGTCTTCACTCAGACCGTGGTGGCGAGTTTGCCTCAGGTGTCCTTGGTCGCTTTTGTCGTGCGGAGGGCATCACCCAGACGTTCACCCTACCGGACTCCCCACAGCAGAATGGGGTCGCTGAGCGACGCATCGGCTTGGTCATGGAGGTCGCTCGCACCTCCATGGTCCATGCCGGTGCACCCCATTTTCTGTGGCCGTTCGCTGTGCGCTACGCTTCTCACCAGCTTAACCTGTGGCCGCACCCTCAGCAGCCGCAGGTTTCGCCGACCCGTCTGTGGACTGGGTCTCCTGGTGACGCGTCTGCGTTCCACGTCTGGGGCTGCCTTGCTCACGTCCGTGCCTCCGGCACGGACAAGCTCACTGCCCGCACCCTTCCCTGCGTCTTCCTCGGTTTTCCCCTTGACGCGTCCGACTGGCACTTTTACCACCCGCCGTCTCACCGCTTCTTTCACTCTCGTGACGTCACCTTTGACGAGTCCGTCTCCTACTACCGCCGCTTCCCCCACCGTGGTCCCCCGGTTACCCCCCCCCTGTTCCTGGTCACCCCTTCCCCGGTAGTCCCTGCCCCTCCTCCTCCTCCTCCCCGTCCCGCCCCCTCTGGTGTCTCCCATGTCACCCCCCTTCCGTCCGTGGACCCGGTTGAGGAGTCTTCTGACTCTGGTGGCCCTCCGGTGCAGTCCTCGCCGGCCGCCCCTCCCCAGGTGTCCCCTCCCCAGTCCCCTCCTCCGCCGTCCCTGCCGCCACTGCAGCCGTCGCCGTCGCCGCCGTTGTGCCGCCGCAGCAGCAGTCCCCGCCGGTGTCCGCCCTTCGCCTGCTCGGCCTTCCGTCCCCCGACCCTGTGTCGGTTCCTCCCCGACCGTCTCCTCCTCTTCCTGTCTACGGCCCTGTTTTCCCTCCGCCGGACTCGTCCCCGGCCCGTCTCCCCCCTCGTTCCCCTCCTGTGTCCCCTCCCCTGTCTCCTGACCCGACTCCTCCATCGCACGTCTGGTCTCACCGTCCCTCCCGTGCTCGTCCTGCCTCGCCTGTCCTGCGCTCCCACCCTATGTTGCTTCGTTCACACGCGTCTCGTCCTCCCCTTCTGCCGTCGCCTCCTCCGTCCTCCCTTGTTGTTGCGCCCCCCCCGCTGTCCGACTACCTTCGTGCCGCTCGTCCTCTCGTTCCTCGGGTCCTTGCCTCTTTCGTTACCGACCCGTCTGTTCCGGTCTCGTGCCTTGCCGCTCTTGTCGCTGCTGTCGCTGACTTCGCCTCTACCCGCCGCCTTGACTACGCCACCGCTCTGGTCTCTGACCCTGCCTGTCCTCCGTCTGTCGGGGGTGCTCCTGCCCTTGGCAGTGACGTCCTGGAGGACCGCCAGTTCGAGCTTGCTTTCCTCTCCGAGGCTGCTCCCCATCTCTGTTCCATGCTGCTAGTCCCTGAGGGTGACCCAGACGCTTTCGACATCCCGACCCCTCGCACTTACGCTGAGGCGACTTCGGGACCCTGGGCCTCGCAGTGGATAGCTGCCATGGAGCAGGAGATGGCATCTTGGAGATCCACCGGCACCTTCGTCGACGCAGTTCCCCCACCTGGGGTGAACGTAGTCGATGGCCGCTGGCTCTTCAAGGTGAAGCGCCCTCCTGGAGAGCCGCCTGTCTTCAAGGCGCGCTATGTGGCTAGAGGCTTCAGTCAGCGCGAGGGGGTGGACTTCTTCCAGACTTTCGCTCCGACCCCGAAGATGACTACTCTTCGGGTTCTGTTACACCTAGCTGCTCAGCGTGACTACGAGCTTCACTCCCTCGACTTCTCCACTGCCTTCCTTCAGGGCAGCCTACACGAGCAGGTCTACCTGCGCCGCCCTCCGGGCTTTACTGGCACCTTCCCTCCTGGGACCCAGTGGCTCCTGCGGCGCCCCGTCTACGGCCTGCGCCAGGCTCCCCGTGAGTGGCACGACACTCTGCGTGCTACGCTTGCTGACCTGCAGTTCTTTCCGTCTTCTGCAGACCCTTCACTCTTCATTCGTGCTGGCCAGACTCCGTTCTACATCCTCGTTTACGTCGACGACCTGGTCTTTGCCACAGCAGACAGGGACGCGCTGGCCTCCGTGAAGGCAGAGCTGCTGAAGAGACACACCTGCACTGACCTTGGAGAACTGCGCCGTTACCTTGGCTTGCAGATCTCCAGGGACAGAGCTGCGCGCACCATCACCCTGACTCAGTCACACTTGGTGCGCCAGGTCCTTCAGAGGTTCAGCCTTCAGTTCTCCTCTGCACAGCCCACCCCCCTGCCTGTAGACCACAGGCTCTCCGCTCCAGTGCCTGAGGAGTTGGTAGAGCCCAGCGGCCCCTACGCAGAGCTGGTGGGTTGCCTCATGTACCTGATGACTTGCACTCGCCCAGATCTCGCATACCCTCTCAGCATCCTGGCTCGCTTTGTGGCCACAGGCAGACACCGACCGCAGCACTGGTGTGCCGCTAAGAGGGTTCTGCGTTATCTTGCTAGTACATCGGGCATGGGGTTAGTGCTAGGAGGACGCAGGCCAGCGGTCCTTACAGGGCACACAGACGCTTCGTGGGCAGACGACGCTGAGACACTCCGGTCTACCCAGGGCTACTGCTTCAGCCTTGGCTCAGGTGCCGTCTCGTGGAGAGCTACTCGCTCCTCGTCTGTTGCACAGTCCAGCTGTGAGGCTGAGATCTACGCCGGTGCCATGGCGGCACAGGAGCTCCGCTGGCTGACCTTCTTGCTCACTGACTTAGGTGAGCGACCTAGCTCTGCCCCGGTCCTGTTCGCTGACAACAGGGCCATGATCCTCCTATGTCAGGAGCCTCGACTCGAGGGCAGAGCGAAGCACATTCAGCTGCGGTACTTCCTCCTGCGTGAGCTACAGCAGCGACGTCAGGCTCGCGTAGTACACTTGGCCTCAGGTGCCAACACGGCTGATATCTTTACGAAGGCGCTTGCGCCTAAAGATCATCAGCGGCACTGTGTACAGCTTGGTCTAGTTCCTGTAGCCTCTCACTTGCTAGGACCTTGACTTTGTACTGTCCTTTATATGTATACTCAGACTGGACTTGTGTCCTCTCCCAGTGGCTGGACTAGTAGTGCCGCCCTGCTCTTGTGCTTGCCTTGTCTGTACTCCTTCTGACCGGTCGCTCAGACCCTTGTCTCAGAGGTTGGACTAGTAGTGCCGCCCTGAGCTGCTTGTTTAGGGTATTCCCCTATGCAGTCTAGGGGGTGTGTCAAACATGTGTATTTGTCATGTTTGTATAGACTGTATAGAGTCACCTCTTAGAGGATACAAAACTTAGATATATTTGTGTGTACTCTCACTTTACCATTATTCAATTATTCTGATACGGAGGACTGGCGCACGGCGTACCCCAACCTCGTGCGCCTGTGGGTAGCTGTTGCTGTCTTGCCGCTCAGCACCGTGGAGTGTGAGCGTGGCTTCAGCCGCCAGAACACGATCAAGTCCTGGCTGCGGGTTAACCTCTGCGACACCCGCCTTGCAGATCTCATGTGTGTCTCTCTGCTGGAGTACCCTATGAAGTGGGAAGAAGTGATGGAGAAGTTCCGAGCACCAGTTCCGCGACGCCAGGCGAAGCATGTCGTCATGCCCAACCCCCCCCGCAAGAAGAGAAAGCACGACAAGAAGAAGAGGAAGAAGACTAGTGCTGATGATGAAGATGTGGATGTGCGCATGACCATGGTTGTAGAGGACTTGTCTGACTAGTTAAGCTAGGAGGTGCAACATGGTGTGCATCAGTAAGCGAAGAAATATGCTACTAAACATTCTGTATATTTAGAAATTTATGGCATGTTCGTCTGACAAATCAGAAATCTTTGGAGAAGCCGTCTGATGATCAGACGGTTCCGTAGGGCCCGTCTGATGGCTTAGAAAGTGGCTGGGGGCAATCGAGGACCCTGCCCATGGGTGGACCTGATGGGAAAATCACCTTCACTAAGAGTTTCTCATAAGCTTCTCTTCGGCATTTTCCTGGTATGCAGCATCCAGGTTTCCCACCCCACCCGCCTCAAACACTCTTCCCCCGTGTTCCTGTATGGCAGTTCTAGCTGGAGTATGTCACTATCATGGTGTCATGTTAGCTTGGCACGTGTGCCCAGCCCACACAGCAAGCAGTGCCTTTCCTTCTGCTCAGCCCTTGTGCTCTCCCTCTTTCCAGTAAACGAACATCACCTCAGTGCCAGCCAGCACATCAACTCTGCACAATTAACAATTTGGAGTCCAAAGAATGTTGCCATATGATTGCCAGTCGACAAAAACAAGCTGAGGAAGACAGCGATGAGTGCAAAAATTTGTCCTACTTATGCAGAGCAGTGCCGCAGTCAAACCACCAAGAGAACCCAAATCCACCATGTGTATCTCCCATTTCAGCTACCAAGCCTTCAAAACTATCTCTGACTCACCCATCACCTGCATTATCACCCTAGCCCTGTCATCACAACGAAACACACAAGGACAGAATCCGCCAAACAGCTACCAGCTTATGCCCTAAGCCTCCTCCATCATCTCGTCGCCCTTGCTGCCAAAGAGGAAGCCCCCTGCGAGGAAGTAGCGCAGCAGTGGCACGAGGCCGATGAGCGCCATCTGCAGCTGCTCGTTGGACGTGGCGCGCAGGGAGATGGTGCCCGCTGCACGGTTGTTCACATTCGCGCGGAACAGCAGGTTTGTCTTGCCCGCGGTTGCCTGCGCCTGCACGTTCGCTCCCACCACCAGGTCACCCTGCGCGCACAAACATGGCCAGGCACGAGGGTCACGGGGGAAGAGGTAAAAAAGGAAATGGATGACATGGGTGGTGGGAGCGAAGTACGGGTGGGAAGGATAGACGGAGGGGGGCGTGGGAGGAGGAGAATGTACGCAAGGCAGAAACAAGCAGCCAGGCAGGCTCCAGCGATGAGTGAGAGCGTGAGCGAGGGTGAGTGCAGGTAGGCATGCAGATAGACCCCAGGGGAAAGGGGGAAGGTGAGTGACTGACCTGCCAGTCCATGAGGGTGAGGCCCAGCACTCCCATGGTGCGATCCAGGGGATGGTCGGGATGCCGCACCTGGTGGAACGCCGCAACACACACACAGCACACGAGTAACCAGCACACACCATTAACAATCATCATGGAGCCCCATTTTAGGTGGCTTCTAGTTCTCTACATTTGGCGATGGATAGGCAGGTGATCAAGCAGCGGAGTGCTGTAACAAGTGCCTGTGATCCGCAGGTCAGCATCCACCAGCTTTGCCATGCCAAGCCCATCCCACTAACAGCCCAAAAACACCACCCCATCCCACAGCACCCGTGACCATGCCATGCCATGGCAGGACACACCGCTAGGCACCCCCCAATCTAGCACGCTTGCTTCTCACCTGCACCTCGCAGTTGGCCCCCCTGGCCATGAGACGCCCGCACCGCACAAAGCCTGCTGCAGCGTTCAGACTCACGTTCTTGCCCACTAGCAACCGATCCTCCACCTGCCGTGCCAGGCAGGGTAGAGACGCAGCACGGAGTGGGAGGAGAGGGGGAGGCGTGAAAGAGGGATGCAGAAGAGTGGCGGAACGAAGGAGGTAGGTGGGGAAGGGAGCACTCATTGGCAGATGGAGAGTGGGGAACAAAGGAGGTAGGTGGGAGAACTCATTGATAGATTGGTACAGTTCCGTCTGGTACATATTAGCACTTTGGAGGAAGTGCGTGAGCAGATGGGGAGGGGAGATGAGAGCAACCAGCAGGGAATGTGATAACCACAGGCTCGTTTGCTTCAACTCGCCTCCGTAAGTTCAACAGTCAACAATCCGCTTCTTCAAACGGAACCTGTGAAAGGTTCACTGCTTCTAATTCCGGTCAAGTTCACTTCATGTTCATTACTGCATCCCTACACCATCCCCAACCATCCACACCACAACACCTTTCCCCCCACACCCACCATCCCACTCAACACCATCCGTCCTCGCCCTTGCAATCTCTCCTACCTCTTCCCCCCTCCCCCCCCCCTCTCTTTCATCCCTCCCCTGCTGCCCCGCGCACCTTGAGCCCGGTGGTCAGTCCGCTGCCGTCGTAGGTGGTGAACGAGATGCCAGCGGTGGTGCGGTTGTGAGGCAGCGTGCGGAAGCGCGTCTCGGAGCGCAGCGTGTAGGCGAGGCTGCTGCCCACGGACTGCACGTCCAGCCCCGCGGTCGTGACGGGCGCGTTGAGCAGCGACGTGCCGTGGCGCATGGACGCCGCCGCCTCCAGCGCCACCGTGCAGTCCTTCTTGTCCTTGGTGATCTGCGCACACCGCACACGATCATGCAGGACGTGGAGGGAGGCGGAGAGACGGGAAGCAGGGATCATGGGGGAAAGGGGATGGAGATGAGGAGGTGACGTGGGGGGGGAGAGGGGGGAGGTGTGGTTAGCTTGAGGCAGCAAGTCAAGGGAGTTTGCAAGGCTGGCAGGGAAGGAAAGAACGGGGCAGGGTGGGGGTGGAGTGAGTACACGGCTGGCAGTGAGGGGGGGGGGGGGAGGGGGGGTAGCGAGGGAGCGTACCTGGCCGGAAACGGAGGCGGGGACCTTGCCGCGGATGGCGAAGGCCTTCTCCATTTGGAAGCCGTCATAGCCCGTGTCGTGGTCCCACCCGTGCTGCTCCAACATGGGACGCACCAACCACTGCCCGCACCAACGGAAAGGGTAGAGGTGTCAGGGGAGAAAGGGAAGACCATACACGGATTACATACACTTTAGAGTTCAACTTTTGAGTTCAACCGTCGCAAACGGGCGCACACGCTCTTCGGAGAAAAACACGGGGGCAGAACGTTCACAAGCAGACCTGACCCTCAGCGCACCTGATTGGCGGTCTCGATGTAGCGGTAGCGATGGCTCGGCTGGTCGCTGTCGAAGGAGGGCGGCAGGTCGAGGTCCGGCATGGGCACAGGCACGTTGCTGGGGCCCGCGTCCTCCTCCGCGCCGTCCTCGCCTTCCGCCCCCTTGGCCTTCTCCGCGCCGTCCTCCTCCACGTCCTCCCCTGCCTCCAGCTTCCTCCTCAGCTCCCTGCGTCTCCTCAGCTCCTCTCTCCACTGCTTCTTCTGCTCACGCAAGCACCAGTGACGGACAAGGGAGCGGAAACGAGGTCAGCAAATGCAACAATCCAAAGCACAAGCACAGCAGAGAGCTACAAACCAAAAAGGCACTCGAGGAAAGGAAAGGCTGGCCGACCACCCGACGAAAAGGAGATGCAAATGGACCCTGTCACAAACAAAGATTCCCTCATCACTAAACCCAAAGCCTCCCAGACAAATCCACCACCCCAACAGCCCACCTCCGTTTCCCCCATGACCGTCTCACCTGGAAGAGCCTCTCCCTGTCCGCGAGCTCCTCATAGTACTCCCTCCGCTGCGTGGGCTCCAGCTGCTGCAGCTCCGCCTTGGTGAGGCGGCGGAAGGGCGGCAGCGCGTCGTAGTCCACCTCGTCGTCGTCGCTCTCGCTGTCGCTGCTCTCGTCGTACTCGTCGTCGTCGCCCATCTGCTGCTCCTCCGGCAGTCGCAGCGGCTGCCTCGGGCCCAGGAGAGACGACAGCAAGTAGGGCAGCGGCGGCATGCGGGAGCGGCCGCGCTGGGCGCGGGCGCCGCCAGGGCCGCCGATATCGAGGACGGAGTTGGCCTCGGAGAGGCACTTGGAGGCGAAGCACAGCAGCAGCAGCTGCGGGCGCCACACCTGGCCGTTGGGCAGCACGCGGTCGCCCGTGCGGTTGGTGCGGCAGGCGGGGTGGTTCTCCACGAGCGCCACGGGGTTGAGCAGGCGCATGTCGCCCGACGCCTGGCGGATGGTCTGCTGCACCACGTGCGACCGCTGCGCCACGTACATTTCATAGCTCATGGGCCGCCCGCTGCTGTCCTCGGGGGGAGCAGACGACGCGTGCGTGAGCACCACGATGGTGTTCATCCACACGGCAGGGCCGAAGGTGTCGCTGATGGGGCGGACGAGCTCCATGTCGCCGTAGTCCCTGGCCTGCACGTCCAGCCGGTCCACGTACAGCACGATGTCTGGCTGCTTGCCGCGCAGGTACCGCTTGGCGGACCGCAGGATGCTCTGGTTGCGCCGCATGTCCGCCACGGACGGGTGCAGCCCGGGCACGTCCACCACCTTCACGTTCACGCCATGCACGCGCCCAGTGATCTCGCGCACGCGCGTCGTGGCGGGCAGCTCTGCAGGCGGTGCATCCGCAGGGGGGTTCGTGCCCAGGAGCGAGTGGATGGTGGCGGTTTTACCCACGCCCGTCTTGCCCACCACCATGACCGTCAGCCCGAAGTCTAGGTCCGAGTCCGCCCCTTCCGCAGCATCCAGCTCAGCTGCGCGGGCGCGCGCTCGATCCAGGCGCATCGCGCTGCCCATAGCGCCGCCAATGATGCGCACTCCGCCACTGCCCGCGCGCGAGGCGGACTCCTGGAACTTCTCCGCGAGCTCCAGGCGGTAGAGCACCTGCGCCACCACCACGTTGCTGTGGGACTGCCCCAGCCGCGCAGCCAGGCGCAGCAGCTTCACGCGCACCGAGTTCACCTTCTCCGCGCGCGGATTCAGCGGGGCGTCTGGCGCTGACGATGCAGCCCCGGCCGCGCCAGCCTCCCCCATGGCGCCTGTGAGTCCCTGCCTCGCAATCACAGCCGCTGCCTGCCGAGCCACCGAGTCCACCGCCGCCGAACCTGCAGATGCGGAGCCTTCCGAACCAGAGTCGGCGGATCGGGTGGAGGATTGCGGGCGAGCTGGGAGGTCGAGTGAGCCGTTGAGACCGCGAGGGGCGGACATACGGGGGGGGAGATTGATCCCCCCACCCGCACTGCCGCCTCCTCCCGCCCCCTGCACCACAGCTTCCATGTCCCTCACAAGGGCGTCCAGCGAGGCTGACACCCCCGCTCCCTCCTCATCGTCGTCGTCCTCGTCCTCCTCCCCATCTACCCATTCTTCCGCCTCGCTATCATCGTCCTCGTCATCATCATCCACGTCCTCCACGTCCACGCGACTGGCATCCGCGATAGCTTGTTGCAGCTGCGCCTGAATGTCGCCCTCCAGCTGCGAGATCAGCGCGCTCGCAGCAGCACCACCCTCCGCTGCCTCGCCTGCTGCGCTTGTCTGCACGTCGACAGCAGCAGCGGTCTCTGTTTCTTCGACCGTAGCGGACGCTTCTTCTGTCACGACCTCCGTCTCCGTGGTGGTGGTCGTCGTCGTGGTCACCGTGGTGGTGGTCGTCGTCGTAGTCGCAGCTGTGCTGGTGGTTTCAGTAGCTGCAACCGTCTCGGTCTCTGCTGAAACTGCTACCTCGGAAGCTTCGGTAAGAACTGCCTCGGTAATCTCAGCGGCAGAGACATCAGCAACAGCTTCAGCGAGCTCAGCAGCGGGAGAAGCAGCCGACGCACTGCCTTCCACTTCCACGCTCTCCACCACAGACACCGACGCTGTCTCACTCGCCACCTCTGTTACAACCGTCTCCGTTACATTCGAAATAACCTGTTCAACCGCAGCTGCTTCTGTCACCGTTTCCGTCACTGTTTGCGTCACCGCTGCGCTGGAAACCTCCTCCTCGCCCTCTTCGAAAACTTCCGCCTCCCCGTCAACATCCATCTCCGCACTCACCACCGGCACCGAAAAATCCTCCGAATCCCCTGTCACCTTCGCCTTAGGAACCATGAAATCGTCCGCCACAGGAGAAGTTCCGAAGCTGCCCACCGACCCTTCGGCACGCTCGTTCGCGCTACCAAACGACTCGTTATCGTCATCGTCGTCCTGCTCCGAGTCTGTCTCCCCCTCGACGCTCAACGGAGCACGGATCGAACCGTCCTCCTGATCCTTCCCGGACGCGTCTGGCGCTACTTCCCCGCCCTCCCCCTCATCCCCGCCAACGTCCTCCGCGACGGCACGCGGCGGAGCGGGGTCTGACTGCCCCTCGCTGCCCTCCGCGCCCTCGCCTTCCTGAGTGCCCTTGTTGGCTTTGAAGCTCAGATAACGGCCGAAGGACTGCATTCTGCTGGGACAAGACACAAAGGATTTAATAAAACGGTGTGTACGGATACGAGCAGCGGAGAGGGCAAAACGATGCGTTGCGACCAAACCTTCACGACCGATCAAATGGTTCTACTCTCTGAAACCCTCTAGCATGATCTGATCGTGCCAAAAAATACGGAAGTCCAAAACCGCAAGGACGGAAGTCCATAATAAGCGATCAGACCAGTGTGATGGAAAACAAAAGGCGAACATGCATGCAAGCAGAGCAGCACCATGAACGAGGTCCCATACCAGCCAACTGAAAAACCCTTCGTCCTAACCTCCTCACAATATTTTTCTTGTCCTTACACAAACACAAAATTGGAACGAAAACCGATTCTGCAACTGCAGTCTTATATCGTTGTAAAGCGATTTTTACGAGAACGGTCGTTGAGACACGCAAGCACGAACGCCGTTGATATCAAGACATTGGTCGTGCTCCGGAGGAGTTCGGGTCAAGTACCTGAAGGAAAATCGTCGATCGCCTTCAACAACTAAGGTCAGAAGCGGAGTCTGAAATGCACAACACCGTGCCTCTAACAGAGAGCCAGCGGCTGCGTAATCGAAACCGCTCGTTCTGGTGGTGACCAGGCTTCCTCAGCACTGTCCGAGTGCCTTCTCTGAGGCGTGCTCAGGAAAAAGGGGTGAGGAAGATGTCTGAGAGGACTTATTGAAGCTGCCTCCTGGATGATGGCTGCACCTCGCTTCCTCCCCTCGGAAAGCCCGAAAGCCTGGCTCGGCTTGGGCAACCCCACGGCAGGGAGCAGCAGAGCCTCAGCAGACCCCTCAGGCTCTAATTGCGACCGATGAGCCTTGGGGCGCTGGCATGATGCGATAAGGGCCTCGCGGCTGCGTGCATGATGTGGCACTCTACCATTGCCCCGGCAGCCACATAGGCTCGCAGAAGCGTAGGCTCGGATGTTCCAATTTCAATCATAATCTGCCACGCAGCTCACCACATGCACAATGCTCGGAAATTGAGAGGGTTTTGATGAGGGGCTTGCTGAGGGCTTTTCCTTGAATGGAAGTTACACGCACTCAATCAGCATAATAAACACTCAAAATGGAGGAGGTGATCCACAAAATATGCAAATTGCCCTTCAAAACTCCTGAACTCACATTTGAAGAGGCATCATTGCATTTTAGATCACATCCAGCTTGATTTGATGAATTCACCCACAGCTACACTCGAATTGCAATAGTAGTATGAACATCCTCTTAGAACTGAGTAATGAATGAGTAGAGAACCTGAGTACAGGCATACATATCTAAGGGTTGTACTCTCTAAGAGGTGACCCTATATAGTCTATACAAACACTAGATATACTAATGTTTGACACACCCCCTAGACTGCATAGGGGCAGGTCCTGAACAAGCAGCTCAGGGCGGCACTACTAGTCCAGCCACTGAAACAAGGGTCTAAAGACAAGTCAACAGGAGTACAGGCAAGACAAGAACAAGGGCGGCACTACTAGTCCAGCCACTAGGAGAGGACACAAGTCCAGTCTGAGGAAATATATATATATATAAAGGACAGTACAAAGTCAAGGCCCTAGCAAGTGAGAGACTATAAGAACTAGACCAAGCTGTACACAGTGCCGCTGATGATCTTTGGCGCAAGCACCTTCGTAAAGATATCAGCTGTGTTGGCACCGGAGGCCAAGTATACTACGCGAGCCTGGCGGCGCTGCTGTAGCTCGCGTAGGAGGAAGTACCGCAGCTGGATATGCTTCGCTCTGCCCTCGTGTCGAGGCTCCTGACACTGGGAATCATAGTCCTGTTGCCAGCGTACAGGACCGGGGCAGAGCTAGGCCGCTCACCTAAGTCAGTGAGCAAGAAGGTCAGCCAGCGGAGCTCCTGTGCCGCCATGGCACCAGCGTAGATCTCAGGCTCACAGCTGGTCTGGGCAACAGACGAGGAGCGGGTAGCTCTCCAGGAGACGGCACAACACCAAGGCTGAAGCAGAAGCCCTCGGAAGACCTGAGTGTCTCGGCGTCGTCTGCCCAAGAAGCGTCTGTGTGTCCAGTAAGGACCACTGGCCTGCGTCCTCCTAGCACTAACCCCATGCCCGATGTACTTGCGAGATAACGCAAAACCCTCTTAGCGGCAGACCAGTGCTGCGGTCGGTGTCTACCTGTGGCCACACAGCGAGCCAGGATGCTGAGAGAGTATGCGAGATCTGGGCGAGTGCAAGTCATCAGGTACATCAGGCAACCCACCAACTCTGCGTAAGGGCCACTAGGCTCTACTGACTCCTCAGAAACTGGAGCGGAGAGTCTGTGGTCTACAGGCAGAGGGGTGGGCTGTGCAGAGGAGAACTGAAGGCCGAACCTCTGAAAGACCTGGCGCACCAAGTGTGACTGAGTCAGGGTGATGGTGCGCGATGCTCTGTCCCTGGAGATCTGCAAGCCAAGGTAACGGCGCAGTTCTCCAAGGTCAGTGCAGGTGTGTCTCTTCAGCAGCTCTGCCTTCACTGAGGCCAGTGCGTCCCTGTCTGCTGTGGCAAAGACTAGGTCGTCGACGTAAACAAGGATGTAGAACGGAGTTTGGCCAGCACGAACGAAGAGTGAGGGGTCTGCGGAAGACGGAAAGAACTGCAGGTCAGCAAGGGTAGCACGTAGCGTAATGTGCCACTTACGGGGAGCCTGGCACAGGCCGTAGACGGGGCGCCGCAGGAGCCACTAGGTCCCAGGAGGGAAGGTGCCAGTAAAGCCCTGAGGGCGACGCAAGTAGACCTGCTCGTGTAGGCTGCCCTGAAGGAAGGCAGTGGAGAAGTCGAGGGAGTGAAGCTCGTAGTCACGCTGAGCAGCTAGGTGTAACCGAACCCGAAGAGTAGTCATCTTCGGGGTCGGAGCGAAGGTCTGGAAGAAGTCCACCCCCTCACGCTGACTGAAGCCTCTAGCCACGTAGCGCGCCTTGAACACAGGCGGCTCTCCAGGAGGGCGCTTCACCTTGAAGAGCCAACGGCCATCGACTACGTTCACCCCAGGCGGGGGAACTGCGTCGACGAAGGTGCCGGTGGATCTCCAAGATGCCATCTCCTGCTCCATGGCAGCTATCCACTGGGAGGCCCAGGGTCCCGAGGTCGCCTCAGCGTAAGTGCGAGGGGTCGGGATGTCGAAAGCGTCTGGATCACCCTCCAAGACTAGCAGCATGGAATAGAGATGGGGAGCAGCCTCGGAAAGAAAAGCAAGCTCGAACTGCCGGTCCTCCAGGACGTCACTGCCGAAGGCAGAAGCACCCCCGACAGACGGAGGACAGGCAGGGTCAGAGACCAGAGCGGTGGCGTAGTCAAGGCGGCGGGTAGAGGCGAAGTCAGCGACCGCAGCGACAAGAGCGTCAAGACACGAGACCGGAACAGACGGGTCGGTAACGAGAGAGGCAAGGACCCGAGGAACAAGAGTGTGAGCGGCACGAAGGTAGTCAGACAGAGGAGGAGGCGCAATGGTAAGAGAGGACGGAGGAGGCGACGGTAGAAGGGGAGGACGAGATGCGTGGGAACGGAGCAACATCGGGTGAGAGCGCGTGAGAGGGGAGACAGGACGAACGCGAGAGGGACGGCGAGACCAGACGTGAGACGGAGGCGTCGGGCCAGGAGACAGAGGAGGGGACACAAGGGGGGAGCGAGGGGGAAGACGAGCCGGGGACGAGTCCGGCGGAGGGAACACAGGGCTGTAGACAGGAAGAGAAGGAGACGGCAGGAGAGGAACGGACGCAGGGTCAGGGGACGGAAGGCCGAGCAGGCGAAGGGCTGATACCGGCGGGGACTGCTGCTGCGGCGGCACAACACCAATACCGGGACCGCAAGCTGCTCCACGGCTACCTCCGGGACACTCCACTCCGGCACCCCCAGAAGGAACACCCCCAGAGCCCGAAACCCTCCGAGCACCAGTACCACCCCCAAGGCCACCGGGACAGGCCACAACAGGAACCCCAGAACGAGCACCCACCCCAACGAGGGCACACCCAGAGTCGAAGAACTGCTGCTGCGACGGCGGCGGCGGCGGGAACGACGGCTGCGACAGCAGGGGCGACGGCGGCTGCAGAGGCTGAGGAGGGGGAGACACCGGGGGAGAGGCAGACGGCGAGGACTGCGCCGCAGGACCACCAGAGTCAGATGACTCCTCGACCGGGACAACTGACGGGAGAGGGGTGACGTGGGACACACCAGAGGGGGCAGGACGGGGAGGTGGAGGGGGGGGGACAGGGACCACCGAGGAAGGAGTGACCAGGAACAGGGGGGGAGTAACCGGGGGACCGCGGTGGGGGAAGCGACGGTAGAAGAAGACGGACTCGTCAAAGGTGAGGTCGCGAGAGTGAAAGAAGCTGTGAGACGGCATGTGGTAGAAGTGCCAGTCGGACACGTCAAGCGGGAAACCGAGGAAGACGCAGGGAAGGGTGCGGGCAGTGAGCTTGTCCGTGCCAGAGGCACGAACATGAGCAAGGCAGCCCCAGACGTGGAACGCAGACGCGTCACCAGGAGACCCAGTCCAAAAAAGGGTCGGCGAAACCTGCGGCTGCTGGGGGTGCGGCCATTGGTTAAGCTGGTGAGCAGCGTAGCGCACAGCGAACGGCCACAGAAAATGGGGTGCACCGGCATGGATCATGGAGGTGCGAGCCACCTCCATGACCAAACCGATGCGTCGCTCAGCGACCCCATTCTGCTGTGGGGAGTCCGGCAGGGTGAACGTCTGGGTGATGCCCTCCGCACGACAGAAGAGACCAAGGACACCTGAGGCAAACTCGCCACCACGGTCGGAGTGAAGACGCAAGACAGGGAGACCTCGGTGGACACGGGCAGAGACAAGCCAGGGGATGAGAGCGTCAGGCACGTCGGCCTTGCGCTCCAGGGGAAAGACTGTGGTGTAGCGAGTGAAGTCGTCGACAAGCACGAGGAAGTAGCACTCTTGACGCGGCCCATGGACGGGGGCGAGGCCCCAGACGTCCATGTGCAGGGTCTGCTGCGGCGCGGCGGTAGGGGGAAACGAGGAGGAGTGAGGGGCACGGCGAAGCCGACCCTCGACACAAGGCGTGCAAGGTGGGGCGGGGGAGGAGGGAAAAGCGGGGCACGAACCAGGGAGACCAAGGACGAGACCGTACTGGGACATGTGACGCAGACGCGGGAGCGCAGGGTGACCTAGGCGGTGGTGCCAAAGGAGAGTCGGGTGAGTGAGGGAGCGACAGGAGCAGGCAGCAGCAACCTGGATAGACGCAGCCACCTGAAGGGGCGCCCCAGCCCCGGGGGGGGCACGGTGTCCAGAGTGAACAGGCCGGACACCGGGTCCCGGGGGAACGTGGACAGGGGGGCACCACTGGCGGTCTCGGTACAGACAGCGTACCGTGCGTGACCAGGGAACGTAGTGGTGACGCCAAGGTCCTGGAGGCAGCCGACACCAACTAGGTTCCTCGAGAACGAGGGGATATGCAGACCTGTGAGAGAGCCCGAAGGAACCGCCGGACAGGGAAGGGTGGTGGAACTGCGAGACCGCCGGAGGGGTCAGCAAGAGAAACTGCAGCAGGAACAGGAAGCGGCGTCAGCATGGTAGAGTCGCGGAAGAAACACCGGGAAGCGCCAGAGTCCAAGGTGCAGAAAAGCGAAGCAGTGGCGTCTGGCGACGGGGCGACGGTGGAAGCACCAAGGCTAAACAAGGCAGAAGCTCCTATGCCTGACGCAGCAGGGGAGGCTAAGCTAGGCACACCTACATTAGGCGACAATGAGTAATAAGAGGGGAGCACACTAGAGTCATCAGCATACATCACATACAGAGCAGAAACAATGGCATCCATGTCCAGGTCAAAAATCTGAACTCTACGACTAAGCAAACTGTGCCAGTCCGGGAGGTCGGGCGACGGTCCGAAACGCTGACGAAACAGGTCGTCGAGGCGACAGAAACAGCGGGCAGTGGAGTGACCGATCTTACCGCAAACGAAGCTGCGGTGAGGACCGGTCTGGATCTGGTACTGACAGTGCACGCCTCCCGAACCGCCACCCGGCACACCACCACGCGCACGACTACCACCAGCGCTAGGCCGCCCGGGCGGGAGGGCACTCGCCTGCCTCGTCTGCGGCGGCTGCTGCGGCTGCTGCTGCTGCTGCTCAGCTGGTCCTGGCGGGGTCCCCTCGTCCACTCCACCACCAGACGACCCGACTCCACCACCACCTCCACTGGCACCCCCACCACCTCCGCCGCGCCCAGCCGTGGGGCGGCGGCCCTTCCCCGGACGGAACTGCGCTGCAGCGGCGGTCTTAGCCACAGCTGCAGAACCATCAGAGAAGGTGCACTAAGCGGGGGCACAACCCCGAAAGATAGGGACCGGCACAGTAACGCTCGCCTGGGCGATAGAGCGGTGGCGGGTCTCAATTACAGTCAGATTGTCTACAAAGTCTGTGAGGGTGAGGTCACTGGTGTGAATGCTAAGGAAGCGGTCACGAGTAGCGGCAAGGCGGTCAGGGAGGCGGGTGGCAAGCAGGTAAAGGGTAGAGGTAAGGGGTGGCTGGTGGGCTCTAAGCTGTGCGTCAGTGCAGGCAGCGCGTCAGGTCTCATCTATCGTGCGCAGGTGGGCAGCCAGGTCAGCGACAGTGGGGAAAGACGCAAGGTCAGGAAAGAGCATCGGTAGGATCAGGCGACCCACAGAGGCAGCAGGCGGGGCGGAATAGCGCCGGATAACAGCGTCTAAGAAAGCCTGGGCGGTGGTGATAGACCTAAAGCGAGAATGCTCAGACGGGGGGAGGGCATTGCTAATGGCAAGCTGGGCGACAGCGTTACGGGAAAGCCAGACAGAGCGAGCGAGGGCAGCGGCCGCAGTAGACTCGCGCTCAGCAGGTGTGGGGTCAGCGGGCAGCACAGCAGGGGGGTCTGGGCACGGAAGCGTACCGTCAAGGTGTGCCGAGAGCGGGTGGCCATCCTGCCGCTGACCAGTGAGGTGGCGGCGGAGGTCGGCTAGCTAGGCCTCGAACTCCAGAGGCTGGCCTTCAGTGTCGAAGCGAAGCTCCGCCGCCATCAGAAACAGTGCAGGGCAGAGCCAGGTGAGGCAGTGCAGTGCGGTCGAGTGCAGTGCAGGGCGGTACAGTGCGGTGCAGTGCGGTACAGTGTGGTACAGTGCGGTGCCGTGCGGTACAGGGGGGTGCAGTGCGGTGCAAGGTGATGGAGAACCGTACCAGGGAGGGTGCAGTGCAGTAGCAGGTATGGAGAGCGGGCCGCACGCAGATCGGCGGCAGTCCGGCGGGAAGGTGAGCACGGGGCCGGAGATCGACGGGCAGGGCGCGCGCAGGGTCGGCAGAACGGGCGCGGGGGGGCCAGTAGCGGTGTGCGCCAGGCCGGCAAGGACGGGCCTGGGACGAGCGCGGGGCCGGATAGGACGGGCCTGGGACGGGCGCGGGGGCCTGTAGGACGGGCGCGGGGGCCAGCTAGGACGGGCGCGGGGGGGCCGGTAGGACGGGCGCGGGGGCCAGCTAGGACGGGCGCGGGGGGCCGGTAGGACGGGCGCGGGGGCCAGCTAGGACGAGCGCGAGGGCCGGCTAGGACAGGCGCAGGAGCCGGTAGGACGGGCGCGGGGACCGCTGGGACGGGCGCGGGGCCGGCTAGGACGGGCGCGGGGGCCGGTAGGACGGGCGCGGGGGTCGCTAGGACGGGCGCGGGGCCGGTAAGGACGGGCACGAGGGCCGGTAGGACGGGCGCGGAGCCGACTAGGACGGGCGCAGGAGCCGTTAGGACGGGCGCGGGGCCAGCTAGGACGGGCGCGGGGGCCGTGAGGACGGGCGCGGGGGCCGACTAGGACGGGCGCGGGAGCCGTTAGGACGGGCGCGGGGCCAGCTAGGACGGGCGCGGGGCCAGCTAGGACGGGCGTGGGGGCCGTGAGGACGGGCGCAGGGGCCAGCTAGGACGGGCGCGGCGGGCGCAGCTAGGACGGGCGCGCGGGCGCGGCTAGGACGGGTGCGGGGTCGACTAGGACGGGCGCTGGGGCGGCTAGGGCCTAGGGCGGAAGCATGGGCGGGCGGCGGGACCTACCTACTGCTGATACCATCTTAGAACTGAGTAATGAATGAGTAGAGAACCTGGGTACAAGCATACATATCTAAGGGTTGTACTCTCTAAGAGGTGACCCTATACAATCTATACAACTACTAGATATACTAATGTTTGACACATCCATGTCAAACCATACTCAAATCTCTTGCTAATCACTCGTAACCAATATGCACAAAAAGCAAGAACTTGCAAAAACTATTGCACAACATGAAATCCCCACAATGCAACACCCTATTTCACATTAGCTTGGTTTTGCAAAATGCTGGCCTCCACCTCCCCAAGCAAGACAATCAACACTTGCGCAATCCTATCTGGAGCATATATCTGAACCATGTCTCTTCGAGCTGCACACCCCTTCCTCCTTGCACCTGCCCTATCAGACAGCACACGCCGCATTAACTTGCAGAGCTCCAAAACTGAAGGCTCTGCCCACAAGTGCCCCTTGAATGGCCCATCAGGAACCTCAGAGAGATAGTCTACAGGTAGAGGGTATCCATTCTCCTCAGTCAGATACTCTGTTATGCCAGACCAATTAGTGGCTATCACTGGCAGTCCTGATGCCATGGCTTCCACTATCGGTCGCCCCCATCCCTCCCCTCTGGTTGGCAGCACAAAACAATCAGCTGCCCGGAAAACGTTAGGCAGGTCAGACTGCGCCACGTGCTCAGACCGAACATAGAGAGACGGCCAGCCCTCAGGTGGCTCAGTCAGGTTGGCAGAGCGGAGGAAGGAGGCGATCTTGGCTGCAAAGTGGGAGTCAGTGTGGTAGGCGTTGGTGACGAGGTAGAGGAGCACCGGGTCCGACGCAGTGAACGTGGAGAGGAAGGCCCTCAGCAGCACGTCCCACCCCTTCCTCTGCTCCCACTTGAACACACTCAGCAACACAAATGGCCTGCCGTCGTTGCCCTCTCCTTCCGATGCCAGTGACCCCTCTCCCACACCACCCCCTTCAGCACACCAGTTCTCCACATCCCTACTCCCACTCCCCTCCCCCCCAGTCTCATCACCCAGCAAGCCGCCCTCGTCCTCTGCATGACCCCCTGGTCCCCCACGCGCATTACGTGTCTGCGGCAACCGGTCCGGGCCTAGAACGAGGTGAGCGGGAGGGAGGGAGGGGCGGAGGGCGGGGGAGAGAGGAGGCGGGTGGAAGGCATGGACGTCGACAGGCTGCGGCAGCACTCTCAGCTTGGACGGGTGGACGCCGCTTGCAGCGAAGGAGTGGCGGTGGAAGGCAGAGGGCACCCACACCTGGTGCATGCGGTTGCAGCGCTGCACGTGCATGGGGGTCACCCGGTCCGTCTCGAACATGGTGCGCCCGATGAGGAACGCAGACGCCTGCAGGGCTGCAGGCGGGCACGGAGGGGTTTGGAACAACGGAGGCGCCCACGCGCCAGGCTCGCTGTGGCAGATGACGATGCCGTGTAATGGACTGCCGCTGCTGCCGCTGCTACTGCTGCTGCTGCTGCTGTCTTCTCCCACAGCTTCAGCTGCTTCGTGCCCGTCTGGCGTTTCTCCTCCCTCTGTTCCTCCCCTCCCTGCTCCTCCTCCTTCACGCCACAGCCTCTCCCATGCCCCACCTTCCTCCTCCTCCCTACCGTTCTTCACCCCCTCGCTTCCTCCCGCTCCTTCCTCCCCTCCTTCTCCCCCTGCTGCTCCCGTGGTCCCCTCGAAAAGATCCTCCAGCACTCGAACAGTGGAGTCGGGCAGCCCGGAAATATATTCCCAGTTGGTGCCGTCCCCGTGCTGCGCTATTCTCAAGGGCGGCGCGCGAGGCGAGGCGGCGAGGGAAGTGACATACGCGACGGCCTCGGAGGAATACCCCCCCGCGGAGAGGAACGGCGCCATCCAGAGCACGGGCACGCGGAGAGGGCGGTGCTCGGGAGAAATGCGCAGGGGGGAAGAGGCGGAAACGGTGGCGGAGAGGGCGGGAGGCGGAACTGCTGATTCGCCATCCGCGCTAGTAGGCGGAAGGGATGAGGGAGGCGCGGTGGGCACGGGCGCGGCAGGGCAGGTTGACGCGGGGAAGTCGGAGGGGCAGACGGCAGGTGAAGAGGCCGCGGGAGGATGTGAGGGGACGGCGGCTGATGCAACGAGGAGCGACGGGAGCAGTAGAAGGAGCAGAAAGGAGAAAGCACGGATGGTGGTGGCGACTAAGGCAAGAGCACGCGGCAATCCGCGCGGATGACTTGGCGACGGGGCGTGCGATGGGCGTGATTGGCTGGGAGCGAGTACCGAGGGAGTGATCGGCCACTCCCAGAAGCTCACACGCCCGTGGATAGGAGCCATCCCGACGCGCGGCGAACGGCAGAGCTCCTGGAGGCTGCTGCGCCTACTGCGGTGCGGCGCAGTAGTCCTTGCCTGCCCATTGAGGAGCCTGTGTGCTTCTCTGTGAGATTCGAGTAACTCGATATGGCGATTCTGCTACGACGCAGGAATGGAACGAAACGTGTACTCGATAGCCGCTATCACAAAAAGGGATCAGTGCCATCGTTGTCAAGTGTAAACTTGTCAATACACGCTTGTTTTGTGGTGCAAGCTGAAGACGCACACACTGCTTTGTTTCTGTACAAGGCTTCAGCTTCACACGTCCGTTGACCTGCAAGCAACATATCCATCTTGAACTAGAAACCTTTGTATAAAACATGGTACACATCATTTTGTCGCCATCGGTATTTCAAGATCTTGATACGTGGTCAGGCACTGACGACACCGCCCTGGCTGACTAATGTTCCAAAAGATATGAAAATTACACACAAACTACAGGGTTTCCTTCCGGTCCAACATAAGCACCACATGAATAGGAGACCCTACAATGCTCGCTGGGAACCTGCGTATGCACGTGCACACATGCATACAGATGTGGACCATGCATGGAGCTATGCCTATAACTGAGCACTGGGCGGTAACAGTTGGTGACGGTTGGTGACAGTTGATGACGGGTGGTGATCGGCAGTGACTGGCGGTGGTGGGCGGTGACGGGTGGGGCGGGCGGTGGTGGGCGGAGACGGGCGGTGACGGGTGACTGGTGGTGATGGGCGGGCGGTGACGGGTGACTGGTGGTGATGGGCGGGCGGTGACGGGTGACTGGTGGTGATGGGCGGGCGGTGACGGGTGGTGACGGGCGGTGGTGGGCGGAGACGGGCGGTGGTGGGCGGAGACGGGCGGTGGTGGGCGGAGACGGGCGGTGGCGGGTGACTGGTGGTGATGGATGGGCGGTGACGGGCGGTTACAGGCGGTGACGGGCGGTGGCCGGCGGTGTCGGGCGGTGATGGGCAGTGACAGGCGGTTACGAGCGGTGACGGGCGGTGACGAGCGGTGATGGGCGGTGGCGGGCGGTGGCGGGCGGTGACAGACGGTGGCGGATGGTGGTGGGCGGTGGCGGGCGGTAACGGGTGGTGACGGGCGGAGACAGGCGGTGGCGAGCGGTGGCGGACGGTGACGGGCAGTGGCAGGCAGTTACGGGCGGTGACGGGCGGTGGGGGTTGACTGGCGGGGGCGGTCAGCGGCGAGCGGTGACTGGCGGTGACAGGAGGTGACGGGCGGTGGCGGGCGGTGACGGACGGTGATGGACGGCGACAGGCGGTGACGGGCGGAGGGTGTTGACGGGCGATGAGGGCTGGTGACGGGCAGAGTGCGGTCATGGGCAGTGATGGGCGGAGGCGGGTGGTGGTTGGTGGTTGGTGGTGGGCTTTGGACGGTGATGGGTGGAGGGCGGCGACGGGCGGTAGGTGGTGACAGGTAGTGGGGGTTGATGGGCGGTGAATGAGCGTAATAAGAATACTGGCGAAACTGAGCGAAGCTACGCCCTTCACATGTCTCCTCACCCGTCTCGCCGCTTTACTCGGAGTCTGAACCCCGCTTACCCGTCTCACCTCTTTACTTGGGGTCTGAAACCTCCCCACCTATCTCACCTCTATAGTTGGGGTTTGAACCCTCTTGACCCGTCTCAACTCTGTAGTTGGGGCCTGAACCCCCTTCACCTGTCTCACCTCGATACTTGGGGTCTGAACCCCCCTCACTCCCACCTCTACATTTGGCGTCTGAACCCCCCTCATCCCTCCTTACTTGGTGGGGGGGGTCTGAACCCCCCTCACCCGTCTCACCTCCTCTACAGTTGGGGTCTGAGACCCCCTCATCCGTCTTACCTTAAGAAATAGGGCCAGGACCCCCCTCACCTGTCTCACCTCTATATTCGGGGCCCAAACGCCCCTCTCTCCCACCTCCACATTTGGGGTCTGAACCCCCCTCACCCCCTCATAATTGGGTCTGACCCCCCCACCTGTTTCACCTCTATAGTTGGGGTCTGAACCCCCCTTGCTTGTCTCACCTCTGTAGTTGGGATCTGAACCCCCTCTCGTTCCTCACCTCAAAATTTGGGTCGCCAGTCTCACCTCTGTAGAACCCCCACCATGTTGCGTGGGGAGTGAACCCCCCTCACAAAACTCATTCCGAAAAGAGCCAATGAACCCATATGATAGAGCTTATCGCATCAGGCAACACGTGGGGCATCATCACTTGCCGCCAATCCTGTGGAGCTCTAGGCCCAACCACCCCCTTCCACTCACTGACCATTAGGGGTTTCAGCTCCCCTTCTCCTCTCCCCGCTCTGGGGGTTTCAGAAGCCCAGAGAGCGAAGGGCAGAGAAGAGACTACTGCAAGGAAGAGGCAGAGGAGGGGGCGAAAAATCCAAGGTAATGAGAGGGGGGGCTGAAACTCCCAGGGTAAATTGAGAGGCAAGAGAGGGGGATTCAAATCCCCGGTTCAGGCGAGCCAATAGCAGAGGACGGGGGGTTCTCCCCTGCCCCTCGCTTGCTAGGACCTGGGGTTCCTACCCCCCTCTCCCCCCCTGCCCCTCGCATGCCTTACCCTGGAAATCCCAACCCCCCTTCCCTGCCTTGTTCCCGCCTTACCGTGACCTTTTCACCCAACCCCCATTGCCCCTCCCTCTCTCACCCTTCCCTATGGGTCTCTCCTCCTTGACTCACAAACTCTGGGGGGGGGTCAGGCCCCCTTTGCCCTGCCTCTCACCCAACTTACCCTGGGGGTTTCAGGCCCCCAATATCCTCCCTCCCACTCAACTTACCCTGGGGGTTTCACGCCCCCTTTCTCCTCCCTCACTCAACTTACCCTGGGGGTTTCAGGCCCCATTTCTCCTCCCTCCCTCAACTTACCCTCGGGGGTTTCAGACCCCCTTTGCCCTCCCTCTCACCCAACTAAACCTGGGGGTCTCAGGCCCCCTTCCCCCTCCCTCACTCAAATTCCCCCGGGGGTTTCAGGCCCCCCTTCCCTCCCTCTCACTCAACTTCCCCAGGGGTTTCAGGCCCCCTTTGCCCTCCCTCCCACCCAACTTACCCTGGGGGTCTCAGGTCCCCAATATACTCTCTCCCACTCAACTGACCCTGGGGGTTTCAGGCCCCCTTCCCCCTCCCTCACTCAACTTCCCCCGGGGGTTTCAGGCCGCCTTTGCCTTCCCTCTCACCCAACTTACCCTGGGGGTTTCAGGCCCCCTTCCCCCTCCCTCACTCAACTTCCCCTGGGGGTTTCAGGCCCCCTTTCTCCTCCCTCACCCAACTTACCCTGGGGGTTTCAGGCCCCCTTTCTCCTCCCCCGCACCCAACTTACCCTGGGGGTTTCAGGCTCCTTTTCTCCTCCCTCACTCAACTTACCCTGGGGGTTTCAGGCCCCATTTCTCCTCCCTCCCTCAACTTACCCTCGGGGGTTTCAGACCCCCTTTGCCCTCCCTCTCACCCAACTAAACCTGGGGGTCTCAGGCCCCCTTCCCCCTCCCTCACTCAAATTCCCCCGGGGGTTTCAGGCCCCCCTTCCCTCCCTCTCACTCAACTTCCCCAGGGGTTTCAGGCCCCCTTTGCCCTCCCTCCCACCCAACTTACCCTGGGGGTCTCAGGTCCCCAATATACTCTCTCCCACTCAACTGACCCTGGGGGTTTCAGGCCCCCTTCCCCCTCCCTCACTCAACTTCCCCCGGGGGTTTCAGGCCGCCTTTGCCTTCCCTCTCACCCAACTTACCCTGGGGGTTTCAGGCCCCCTTCCCCCTCCCTCACTCAACTTCCCCTGGGGGTTTCAGGCCCCCTTTCTCCTCCCTCACCCAACTTACCCTGGGGGTTTCAGGCCCCCTTTCTCCTCCCCCGCACCCAACTTACCCTGGGGGTTTCAGGCTCCTTTTCTCCTCCCTCACTCAACTTATCCTGGGGGTTTCAGGCCCCCTTTCCCACCCTCCACGTTACCAGCAGTAGGAGCAGCATCCAGCCCACCTCCTTACGGAAACAACACCCACAGTGGCTGTGCCTTAGGGCGAGGTGTGGCAGTGGAAAAGCATGGTCCGGCCCAAGACTCAAATCCCACCCCTGACGTAGCTAGAGCTGACGCGAACCAAAGCTGCCGGCCGGCCGACTCTGACGGTGTCCATTAAGCTTTAACGTCAGATTGGTTACTTGAGCACCGACTGCCGAGGCCACGCAGATTCCACCAACCGCACCCGACCCACAAGCCACAACCACCAAGGGTGCTGCCCCTAAGGCAGAGCACTGAACGCTTGCTCCCATGCTCCCCACTCACCCCTCTCCCTCACCCCCATGACTCCTTACCTTTACTTACCACAGCCGGGCGGAGCACCATGATGCCTGAGACTGCTGGGAAGGGAGGGGGTTTGGTTAATGGGAAGACTGCAACCAGAACAGCTAAACCCCTGCCCGTCTTCCTAGCCCAACTGCTGCTTCTGCTGCTCTGCTGCAACTGCTACAACGGCTTGTGCTGCTGCTGCTGCTGCTGCTGCTGCTGCGATGGCGGCTTTGCTGCAGCAAGTGCTGCTGCTTGGAGGTGCCACCAAGAATCTGTTAGGGAGGGGAGAACGGAGAGGCAGAGGGGAAGAAGGTGAGAAATGGCTGCGGCTGCAAGAGAACTTGAAAGCGAACTTGAAAGAATGACAGACATCAGAGAGCAACAGCAAGCAGGACACCAGACATAAGCGAGAGAAATGTGGCAAGAATAGCGAGAATGATAGTGGAGGAGGAGAGGTTTGGGCTCACCTTTTCTGCAGTAGCCACCCCCCCCCCGTACTCTCCCTTTGCTGCCCGCTGCAGGGCTCCCTTGCTCCACGCTCCCCTGCACGGCCTTGAGGGGAGGGGTGCGGGGGAGAGTTGGAGTTGACCCCACGCCCCTCCCCAGCACCTGCAACAGCCACACTCACCCACAGTCAGTTCACAGCCATGGGCTTTGAGATGGAGTGCAGAGAAGCAGCAGAGGAGCAGAGGGGCAGAGGAGAGACCACTGGTGCAGCTGCCTACTGGCCCACAGACCCTCCACCTGAAACCTGCAAGGGGGTCAGCTAGTAATGGCTCTAATTCTTGAGAGAGCACCTTGACCTGGGGCTAGAAGAATAGTGAGGGTCTGTTGGTAGTAGGCCGCTGGTACCAGTGGATCGTTTTAGGGGGAAAACGAACAGATGAAAAGCAGGAGACATAGAGAACGAGCGAAATGGAGGAGGGCTGGGGCGAGGGAGTTGAAGGGGAGGAGCGGTACTTATCTGGTTTGAGGCTGTGATTGCTGGTGCTGCAGGCAGCCTCTGCAGGCTCATCCCCTCCTCCAACCATCCCCTCCACCCCTTTCGACCGCCCTCCATCCCTCCCCTTCATCTCAGAGCCAGCCAGACAACAAGGCCCTGCAGAGGGTTGGGGGAGAAGGAGTTGAGGAGGGTAGCAGACACAAGGTTAGAAACTTGTCATGGTCGGTTCCAGATGCTACTTGGTGGGAGTGCATGGTAATGTGTGCTGGAAAGTGATGAGACGTGGTGACATGTGGAGTGGATAGCGAAAATGCGCAACTTACAGAGGGGAGTGCAAAGAACGCCGTGGTTGCAGCAGCAGCACGCACAGGCACAGGCCAGGAGGGGCAGGAGGGGATACCGGGGGCTTTAGGGGGCAGTCTGGTGAAGGCTCTAGGGCTTGAGGGGGGGCATACCACGGGGAACTTACCTGAAGCATCTGGCCTGTGACCCGTGCTTGGGGCTGCCACCAGAGGCGCTGCTTAGAGGATGGCGCATGCATGGCATGGGGTGGTAGGAATGGGATGGGGTGGGGTGCATGGCATAGTATGAGTCGCATGCATGGGTGAAGGCGGCCAGGTAGCAGGGAGAGAGCACTTAGCTTTCCATTGTAAAGTGTTGCCCAGTGAGCTGCTCTGCTGCAGTCCCTCCTCCTCCCCTGCTGCCACTGCTGCCCCAACTGCTGGTCCTGCTGCTTCCAGATGCCACCAAGACACCTGTTAGGGAGGGAGGGGAGAATGGAAAAGAAGAGGGGAGGGGTAGTGAGCAACAGCTGCAGGCAGGATGCAAAACTGTCAAACCGAAGCCAGCAAGGAGGCAGATGCGGAAGCAAGCCAGCGTAAGGCACTTAATAGAGCAGGAGGACACTCATAGTGAGTAACCACTGTCATGAGACCAAGAGACGAATACATGATGCAGGAAAGAAAAGAACACGAGCAGGGCAGAGACCACTGGTGCAGCTGCCAAAGGCCCACAGACCCAAGGGGATACCTGCAAGGGGGGGAATACCAAAGGCTCTAGTAAGGTCTGTAGGTCTTGAAGAACTACCTTACCTGGAGTTGAGTGGAGTAGCGGGTCTGTGAGCCATAGGCTGCTGCCACCAGTGGTCCAGTTTCGGGAGATGGGGGGGTTGGGGGTTGGGGGATTGGCCAGGGAGGGACGGCATGCAAGGCAGTGGGAGACAGGGTGGTGGATACTTAACTGAGATCGCTCGAGTTGCTCCTCCACAAGGCCTCCACACCACATGCCTCCACCACTCCCCTCCTCCACCATAGCCGTCTGCCACAGCGCTTCACTGTACCAGCCCCATATAGCGCCCCTGCAGAGGGACGGGGGGAGGGAGGCGGAAGGGGAAGCTTAGAAGCTGGAGAGGCATGGGAAGAGATGGCTGGTGATGAGCGGTGATGAGTGGTGATGAGTGGTGATGAGTGGCGTGGCGATGGGTGGGCATGGCTGATGGGTGGTTGCGAGTGATGGGTGGTGATGGGTGAGGTGAGGGATGATTGGGTGGGTTGGACACCACACATTCACAGCAGCATGCACAGGGCACAGACCAGGGGTACGGGAAAGGGGAGTGACCGGGTATCTAGTAAGAGCTCTAAGGGCTTTAGGGGGTTATAACCAGGGGGGGGGATATAACCAAGGGGGAGGGGGATAACCGGGGGGGGGGAGGGGGGAACAGGGGGCGGTTTACATGGGATGCCTGGTTTGTGGCCCGTATGCTGCTGCAACCAGTGGCTCAACTTTTAACAATGGGATCAATGACATGGGGCAGGAAGGAAGCATGGCGTGTCGTGGTGATGCATGAATGGGACAGGGCAGGGCAGGTACCGGGACGAGAGGACTTAACTTTTCATTGTAGGAGCGCGAAACCCTTGCTTGCAGCTGCGCCATTCCTTACCCTGCTCTCCTCCCTCCCTCGCTGCCACATTACCACGCCTCCCCTCCCTGCTGCTGCATGCCTGCCGGGGATGGCAGACTCCATGGCATGGCTTGCGGACCAGGGCGCCAGCAGCAGCAGGCAGGAGCAACACAAGGAGCGCAGCAACACCATGTTAGTACCGGAAGGGGGAAGCAAGGACTCCAGTGCAAGGTGAAAAGGACTCGAGACGCTTGACGCTACGACGCTTGAGGTCCTACGCGCCCCCCCAGCAGCCTTGCCCCGGACTTACCAGGGCGAGCAGCGATGGCGAGAGGTGGCAGCAAGGAGCGTGCAGCAGACAGCTCGGGTCCTTGGCAGAGCTCATGGCTGGATAGCGCACTGCGTGCCACTGCCGCCCACTGCTTGCCAGAGTCGCTGCCCAGTGCTTGCTGCTGCTGCTGCCCACACTTCAACCTGCAGAGACACACAGGGCAAGACCCCACACATCCGCCACCAGCCTCCACACAATAGTGTGACGGACTGACGGCTTGGAGGCCGTGCAATACCCATGCACACCATCACACGCGACCCCACACAAGCACACACGCAGAGGAACACACAGACACGGTCGTTAGCATCAGTAGGAAAAACGACGCGACTCAAGGGATCAAGAAACGACCAGCGACGCGCTAGCGGCGACTTAAGGACACAAGTACCCCCCCAGATGCTTTTCCCTCAGCCTTACCTTGCAGATATGGCCGCACATCCCCACTGCTGGCGTTGAATGGCCGCTGTTGCCCTTGAATGCTCGGCGCTGGCGGTGAGACGACGCCTGCTGGCCTTGAGAGGGAGCGCGCCTTGGTCAAGCGATGCCTGCAGGGCGGGCTGTGTTGGCCGTGCTCCCAGGACAGCACAGCACGTGGTATGCCTGCAAGTCAAAACGACAACGCGTCAGCCATCGAGAGACATACATCAGCACAAAGAAATCGATGCTTCCCCAACGCGACATCAGCAGAAAGAAGCGCAAAAAGACGAGTGAAAGCGATGCTGAGGCAACGGAATCGAAGCGCTTACCGTGAGATGATGGTACCGCGTCACAAAGCGCGGTGTCGAGGGTTGATGGACGGCAGAGAAGCGCGTCGGAGGTAAAACGACTGGCAGACGACCGAGCAGAACGGCGGACAGCCATGCGAATGCGCGGATGACCACACAGGCAGCGAACGTGAGAAAGCGGATGAACGGGAAGGATGGCGCGCGACGGCGCGTAGAACGGCGAACGAACGCGAAAGATGGCGAACGACGGCGACGAATCGCGAACGACGGCGAAGGATCGCGAACGACGGCGCGTGTGACGGCGGACGAGTGCGTAGGACCGCAGATGATCGTGCACGATGACGGACGGGCGAGCACGTTAGCGGACGGGCGCGTCGAAGGGCGGCGGACGGCCGTACGACGGAGAAATAGACGCGGCATGCCTGCAAGTCGAAACCAGAAGCAGAGTCAAACTTCGAACGAGCGAAACGGAGGTAGAAAAACCAGCGCTATGCGAATCAACGAGGCCTTACCATGGGCTGACGGTTTATCGATAAAAGGCGCGGTGGCGACAGGTGATGAACGACATGGACGGCGAGCGAACGTGCAGGAGCGCGGACAACAGGCGGATGGCCAAGCCAAGTGGGAACCACTGTAAGAATTGGCGGACGATGATGCGAATCAGCGGGCGACGGTGCGAGGTGGCAGATGCCCGCGCAGGAAGGCGGACGACGGCGCAAAACCGCGAGGGACGGTGACGGAGGGAGCAACGAAATGGAAACTAGGAGCAGAATGGGAGCTCTGGTGGCTAGGAGCAGAACTCGGAAAAATTCCGTAGCTAGGAGCAGAGAGGCGCGGAAATGAGAAGCAGAACGCGCGTGTTGGAGTGAAGAATGAGTTGGAAACGGGGCAACAGCAGAGGCATTGGCCTCGGAATTCCCAACGACCTACGGATTTCTCAATGGGTTCCCATCCCAACAAAAAAAATCCCCACGCGCCGCACACGGCTACGCCTAGGCCAAAAAGGTTTGCCGCGTTATGAATTCGACGCGTCGCTAAACGAAAATCTGAACGGTTGAGACTGGATCCCGTGCAACGGCAGGAAACCAGCCACAAAGAGTGGATATGAACTGAACCGTTTCGGTTGGAAAGAAAATCGGACGGATCTGAAGCACACTGAGCTGTGGACCACAAACAACCCTGGCTTAAATGCTGCGGCCGTCAGCCAGCCACATGAGCCAACAAAGCGCGTTTTCGAATCGCCTCCGAAACAAGGCTCTCCTACCAATCGAACTATGGCGGCGGCAGGGAAGTATTAGGAGGTAGAGCGGCTGAAGGGGGAGGGAAACAGAACTCGACTGACAAGCGAGCACCGTTGGGGAAGGAAGAACACTGCAATATATTGTTACTGAAACAGTTACATGCAAATATAAATGTGATGAAGCAGCATATAATTTAGGATATTTTGCTGGTTAGGAAAGTGGATTCGCTCCACGATAAAGCAAGCAATTCAGAGTTGGCGAGGTTTCTTTGGCAAATCAAACTCCTGGACATGTCAGAGTCAGTTACTGTATCCAGCAGGTTTGGTTGGACAACGGGTGTTCGTCTTCCAGTGATTCGCAGACAGTTTTGACGGCTGACAGGGAACAGCGAAGTTTTCGTCCGTCACACCGCCAGTCGTGGAGCTACTGTAACGAGCGAGCTTTCGCAGCTACATCCACCATACACACGCAAGGCCGTGCTGCAGTCACAAATCGAGGGGAGTTAGGTTTGGAACTCTGGTTGACAAAATCGAGGTGGGGGAGCAGGGCTCTGGCTAACAGGGTAATTAACTTTAATGTCGTGAAATTAAGAGTTGTTTTCTACCTGATTCCGTTTTATCGCATTGTAATCATTCCGTCTGCCTAACGGATTACTTTTCGTGTGATTCCGTACGAAGTGCATTTGTAGTAGGAGATCTGTTCGTAGTGGTGTATCACCCTTTCCCACCCTCCCCTCTACTTTTCCCAACTTCCTCCACTAAGCAAAGCGCGAGGTTAGTTGCCGTGAGTTTTTCTACTCTTCCAAGTGCCTCAGGCGGAGTATGTGCGAGAAACAGTCCCTGGGGTTTCGATGGATTTTCCTTAGCCGTGGCCAGGGCCATTTGCATTCAAGGATGTTAGTATCAAACCAAGAGTAGCTCTTCGACGAATCCGTATGCTAACGGGTAAAGTTTCGGCGATTCCGTCCACTAACAGGTATTTTTGCGGCCGATTCCGTGACCTAACGGAATACCCATAGGCTTAGCAAGAGCCCTGTGGGGGAGGACTCCAGGGGAACAGTATCAGCGTGGGGTCGGTGAATGGGGAGGAAGTCAGATGGTCTCCAGCAAAGATTAGGACTAAGGGACCTGAGAGCACACACTTTTCAGCCACGAGCGAGGAAGCTGAAGAGTAATTATGTCTGACATCCTCGTGATGTGCTTTCGCGGTCTGTAATTCGTGCTAGTCTTATTATGCTGCGACGACTCAGTGAACCCAACTGGGTTAGGTCAGATCACTTCCTCGAAAGTCATTGCCTCTTGCTGAATACCGTTTAGCACCGCGAGCTTTGCTTGCGAAGGTCCGGTTGGACGAGCGAGCGAAGAAAAAACTCAATCCGTCTAGTTTCGAGTTCGTTCGCGTCAGCACTTGCATCCCTAAGTCATGCGCATGACTCCAGCGATTTCGGTTAGATGCTGACTCTGCAGGAACGGTATTTCGACGAAATGCTAATTACCACGAAGATTGTTCGGAAACGGCCGACGTCGCACATTAGCAGGTCTGTTCGAACTATGTAGGGGAAGCGAAAGCCAACGTATTCGGGCACGAATCTAGAACGGACAGCTAAGGGGAACCGCATACGTTGCGGTAGCAAGTCTGTGAGTCGAAGTCCAACTGACAACGTTATTTCCGTTTCGCGAGAAGCAGCGTGCAGCAGCCCGCCGATTCAAAGCCAGTTGCCTTGATATGATTCGACGACATATAGCCGCTCGTCGGAAATCGAGCGGCGTAGCAGTCGGGTCGTAGCACTCCAGCCCCAGCCCGAGTCCGGTCAGGAACTAGAAGCATCCATCCAGGGTCGTCTCGTCAACGACACGGCCTGGCGTCATGCAGCGTGGTGTGGCGCGTAAGGAGTCCGGGCTCCGCCGGTTCCTGAGCATGCTGGGGCCTGTGCAGGTGGAGCCGCAGCCGTCCAACGCGGTTGCTCCGCCGCCCCCGCCAGAGCTTCCTGGGGCGATCAAGGTGAGAACTTGCTGAGCGGGCGGAGCGGAGGAGGAGATGTTATAGCACAGGCTTCGGTTGATCTCAGCGTTGCAAGTGGTCCGAGCAGCGCAGCCAGCCGTAGCTGTTAACTCCTCGTCCTTCTCGTCACTTGGTTTTCGCCTTGTGCTTGCGGAGCGTCTGTTGATCCCATCAGCTCCGTCACAGTTTCGCTGCGTCCGCTAAGACCGCCACAGTAAACGCCATCCGTCTCTTTCACGCGCGCTCATCATCACCTGCGTCCGCCATCCCCCCTCTCTTTTCCCCCACTTTCCTTTTCGCTCCCCACTCGCTTCCCCGTATGCAACAGTTGGGGTTCCTGGCGGAGCTGTCAGGGTCCCGCCGCTATGCCAACAATGACCTCGTGCCCAACTCAGGGGGTGCCTCCGGTGCTGCTGGCTACCCGTCGGGAGGCTCGGCAGGAGCACCAGATGCAGACGACGGGGATCTCTTCGGGAATCAAGGGCTCGATTTAGACGTGGAGAAGATCCTAGGGCCCGCAGCAGAGCTTTCCAACTCCCTGGGCTTGCCGGCGCTGACTAGGCGGGCGGCTCAAGGCGGAGGGGGGTCTGTGGATTATGGGCAGGAGTTGGAGGATGATGCACAGTCGTCGTTATCGATGAACCGCGCGGAAGATGCTGCTGCTGGGTCGTACGTGGGGTCGCACTTGCTCGAAGGGCTGGCTCCGTTGGGCAGCAACTGGGAGGAGGTGGATGAGGAGGACAAGCTGAGGAGGAAGAAGAAGAAAAAGCAAAAGAAGAAGAAAAAGGAGAAGGAGAAGAAGAAACAGCAACAGCTACAGCAACAGCAAGAACAGCAACACGCACGGCCGCCATGGCAGGAGGGGCAGCAGCAGCCCCAGCAGCCGCAGCAGCGACCTCAGCTGCAGCGGCAGTTACACATGAGGCTGCAGGTGCCGCCAGACGATCCAATCCCGCCGCCGCCGCAGCTGCAGCAGCAGTGGTTGAAGCAGTCCCCTTCTGGGGATTCCCTAGGGGGGGGCAGCATGGATGATGGCTTCGGAGATAGCAGGGGTGGGCGAGCAGGCAGCAGGGCAAGCAGAGGGTCTGACGGCGGGAGCACGCCCAGGAGCCACGAGCTCATCGGGCAAGACTCTCAGACGCTAGTCTCCCCAGCGAGAGCAGCTGTGGGGGCCGTTGCTGCTGCTTATTCCCGCCACAGGAGACCCGGGGGGCATTTGAGTGGCCCGAGGGACGTGGGCGCCACAGCGGCAGGTGCGAGCAGCCCAGGAGAAGGGAACAATGTGGAGGCGTCAGTTGTGGGTATGATGGAAGGGCAGTATGGTCGGGAGAAGGGCGGTGCTGAAACTCCCAGGCAGCGGAGTGGGGCAGAAGGCGGCTTTGCGGTTCAAAGAACTGGTAGTGGTGTCGATGTTGCTGATACGGCACCTGCTGCTGCTCACCGCCCTGCTACTTCTCCTGGCGTTATGAACGCCATTGCTGAAGGGGTTCCCGTGCTGGGGGTGAACAGTGGTGCCACTGCTCAGTTGGGGTACTCTGTCGACTCGGCTGCTGCCATAGCTGGCGTCAGGACATCAGGTGCAGTTGCAGGAGAGGAGTCGAAAGGCCCTCCGAGGCTGATGAGATCGCGAGTGGTTCGCCAGTCGTCCTCCGTTGCGTCCATATCCTTTGATGAGATCGCAGAGGAGGCTGTGCTGCATGCACAGCGCGAGCAGCAGCAGGAGCAGGAGCAGCGGCAGCAGCAGCAGCAGCAGCAGCAGCAGCAGGTGCAGGTGCAGGTGCAGGTGCAGCAGCAGCAGGTGCAGGTGCAGCAGCAGAAGGAAGGGGCATTGATGGGGTCGCCGACGCTTGGCATGATCATGGCCGAGAATGACCCTCTGAAGATAAGGGACGGGCCACTGGACGGAGGGGTCAGTCCGGTGCCTGTCAAGTCGTCCTTCTCACGCGGATTAGGGTCCCGGTGGGACGAAGTATCGGATCTTGGGACAGTGCGGGGCAAGCTGGAGCTAGAAGTGCGGCCAGGGCCCAGAGAGGCAGTGGGGGAGGACTCTGTTGTGGGCTTGAGGGAGGGTGCTGAGGGCGCTGTGGAGGGGTTCGGGCTTGGAATGGGTCGGAGGGAGAGTGAGAAGGAAGGGGAGCGAGGGTCGTCGGCAGCGGGGAGTGTCGCTGGAGGGCAGGACGTGGGTGGCGGGTTACGGGAGCATGAGAGGCAGAGGGAGAAGATGAGAGAGCTTGTGAGGGAGAGAGCCAAGGCCCGTATTGAGAAGAAGGAGAAGGAACGGACACAGAGGGAGGGGGGAAGGGAGAGGGGAGAGTCTGAGGATGAACGGAAGCAGAAGGAGAGGGAGGCCCGGAAGGAGAAAGCGCAGGAGCGGGTGAGGGAAAGGATGAGGGTGCGAGGGTTTGATAGCGGTGCAAGCGACGCAGATGGGGCTTCCAGCATAGCCGGCAGCAGCAGAGCAGGGGGGTCAGCATCAGCAGCGGGAGCGGGGGGGGCAGGCGCATTGCCACTGCCCCCAGGGATGTCAGAGCGGCCAGGGTCAGGAAAGGACATGCTTGCTCCCCCGCTGCCGAAGCTGTTCTCCGCCCCCACAGGGGCTGCGGTGTTAGAGAGAAGGGGTGTGGCGGGTGGAGGCGCGGAGGAGGGTGTTCTGCCCCCACCCCCCTCGCACATGGGCAGGCTAAGGCGGGGGCAGAGCGGGGAGTTCTCTGCTGGGGCTACTGTGGGCACTGGTGGTGCTGCTGGTGGCAGTTTTGAGTCCGCAGGTGCAGGGAGTGCGAGGCCTAGACGCGGAATACTTAGTCTGGTGCAGAAGCCAGGGGAGGATGATAATTCGTCTGTCTCAGCCAGGGAGAGAGTCAGGGAGAGGGAGAGGGAGCGAGAGAGGGAGCGAGAAAGGGAGAGGTTGGAGCGAGGTGAAGCAAGGAAGGATATGGGGAGAGGGGAGGGTGAGACAGTGCAAGGGCGGGGAGGAGTGGTGTGGGGTTTGCCGGCAGACGGAGATCCCAGCACCATGGCAGCAGCTGCTGCCGCCGCGGCTGCAGCAAGGGGTCTGAGCAGCGCTGATGCTAGTATGGGCGAGAGGGAGCGAGACGGCATGCTCTCTTCCCCCGGCTCCAGCAGTCGAGGGGGGAGGGGCAGTGCGAGGGAGAACAGCGCAGGAGGGAGGGAACATGGGGCAGGGCCAGGCAGTATGGACGGGTCAGAAGGATCACGAGCAGGGGCGCCCCCTGGCCCAGGCATGGTCACAGGGATTCCAGGACAGATGCATGGGCAAGGGTATGCACAACAACCGTACAGGGCAGTCCCAGGGGTCATTCCAGGGCAAGTTGCTGGGTATGTGCCGGGGCAGAGACGCGACGAGCAGGGCATGGGCAACGATGGGAGCACAGGAGTTGGGGAGCGGTGGTGGGGTGTTCGGGAGGGCAGGTACGGAAGGGATGGTGGCGCGATGGGGGGGAGTGGGATTGGGCCTGGCAGCAGCAGCGGCTCAGGGTATGCAGCAGCGTATCCCATAGCTAGGCAAGGGTCAGGAGGCGTTGCGAGTGGGGCGGGAGGAGGAGCGATGAACCCTATCACCCGGCAGGGCTCATCAGGGGCTCTGAACGCGCCTGGAGGGGCCATGGGGGGTAGCTACTATGACCTCGTGCAGCAGCAGAGGGCCAATACGGCAGCACTGGCGGGCGCAGGGCAGTATGAGGCCGTGGGCCTGGGTAACTCTGCTGCTGGTGCAGACAGATATGGTGCTGGGGACTCTATTGGTGGTGGTGGTGCTGGTGGTGCAGGTGGGGTGGGAACAGTGCCAGGGGTAGGAGGGCGGTATGGGGGAGTGGCAGCAGGAATGGGTGCAGGGTACGGTGTAGCAGGTCAGGGCAACTACTCCGGGTACAGGCCTGGCTTGGGCATGCCTGGAGCAGCAGGACGAACAGGAGTCGGTGGGGTGGGAGGGTTTGGTGGTGGCACGTATGGCTATGGTGTGGGGCCCGGCGCCGGCACTGGTATGGCTGGCGGGGTGCCTGGCGGTGGTGGGGGTGGGGAGATGCGCATGGAGATGGAGCACAGGGTGCAGGTGGTGGCCAAGGTGGCGGACTGGCTCGTCAGTGCCGACATGGACGCCCCGCCGCCCAGCCACGTGTCGCTGGGTACCCGCGACTCAGAGTACGGGGTGAGCGCAGAGCTCGAGGACGAGTCCCTCGCGGGCTCCATAGGCGAGGGCCTCCGCCGCCCCATGTCCCCCATGCGCGGCCGCGACCCCCCTGTTCGGATCCCGCTCCCCGCCTTCAAACGCGCAGGCGACGGGCCCGGCGGTGGGGCGGGAGGAGGAGGAGGTGGGGGGGCAGGGTCGGCAGCGGGGCGGTATGGGTCAGGTGCGGCTGTGCGGCTGCCAAAGAACTACGTGCGGCGGCCGTATGTGCCGTACTGGCGGCGTGAGGCAGCAGGCAGCATGCCTGAGGAGGACGAGGAGTCGGGGAGCTATGCAGCGGGGGGGGAAGCAGCAGAGGGCGGGGGGAGAGGGGGCGGAAGACCTGGGAGCAGTGGTGGCAGCAGTGCTGCTGGGGGGGGTTATGGGGGTGGTGGGGGGGGGTATGGTGGTGGGGATGGTGGGGGGAGGGTGGGTGGGGCGAGTTCGGCGCTGAGTGCTGGGCTGTGGAAGAGGGACCCGGCGCTGAAGCCCACAGTGGCACGGGGCGTGGTGGGGCAGCCCAACACGTACACGCCCAATGTCAAGCCCCGCCCCATGCCCGCTCCGCCCGCAGGACCGGAGGGAGGCGGGGGCAAGGAAGCGAAGCAGGGGGAGAGGCAAGCGTTGGGGCGGGAGGACGTGAGCGGGAGTATTGAGTCGGGGCGGGTGGGTGAGATGGTGGAGAAGATTCTTAGTGGGAAGCTGGGAGACAGTGGGTGCATGGGGGAAGAGGAGGAGGACACGGAGGAGGGGGATGAGGCCCACACGGTGGACGTTGGGGTTAGAGTGAGGCGAGCGGGGAGAAGGAAGGTGAAGGGAGCGAGGGAGATGGAGAATGGGGGGATTGAGGAAGGGATCGAGGGCGAGGGGAGTGAGGGGAGTAGGGAGGAGGAAGGGGAGGAGGAAGGGGAGGAGGAAGCGGAGGGGGTTAAGGGTGATGGAGGGAGGGGGCTTTTGAGGAGGGGCACTGGCGGCAGCAGCATCCGAGCAATCAAGGAGAGGTTGGCTAGGGGAGGTGCAGGGAGGAAGAGAAGGGAGGAAGACTCTGATGGCAAGAAACCACTCGATGGCAGCATACCAGACGAGACAGAAGTAAAGACAGTAGCGGCGGCGCCACCACCGCCTCCCCCCCCTCCCCCTCCCCCTCCCCCTCCCCCTCCCCCTCCTCCTCCACCACCTCCTCCACCTCCACCCCCGCCTCCCCCTCCTCCGCCCCCAGCTGTACCTGACAAACCTGCTGCTCCTCCCCCTCCCCCCCCTCCGCCCAAGGGCAACGCGCCTCCCCCTCCCCCCCCTCCGCCAAAGGGCAACGCTCCCCCTCCCCCTCCCCCGCCTGGGGGCTTCAAGGGGAAGTTCCCCCCGCCGCCCCCCCTTGGGGGCAAGCGGGGTGGGCGCGCCATAGTGAACTGGAACCCTGTGAACGTGGGGGATGACTCCATCTGGAAGGGCACACTGTGAGTCGGGGGGAGGGCTGACGCGCGCGCGGGGGGTACTTGGGAGGGGAAGGGGTGGAGAGGAGCGGGTGGGGGGCTCTGGATGAATGGCCCAAGCTGCTCGTTGCTGTTGTCCTCTGTTGTTTCCACTATAGCTGCTGCCTTTCGCGTGGTCGCCTTCTGAGGTGCTATCTTCGGGTGGCTGATGGCATGTGCGAGCATGCATGCAGCAAGTGTGCTCACGTCACGCACCATCCTGCGCCACCCGCGTAATGTGTGGCCGTGTGCAGGGACATCGGGGTGAACATTGACATCGGCGATCTGAAGAAGGAGTTTGAGGGCAAGAAGGTGGAGGCGCCCAAGCCCCTCAGGACTGTGGCGCCCAAGAAGGTCAAGATTCGCCTGGTACGCTCGCACTCACTCACTCGCCTCGCCTCGCCGCCCGCATTGCAACCACTTCTGGCCTCGTCATTGCTCCGCTGCTGACCTTGCTCTTCCCTCCTCTCCCATCTTTGGTCGACATCTCCCATTCCACTCCCTCCTTCCCCCTCCCCCCGTCCCCTCTCGCATCCTCCCTCTCTCATCCTCTCCCCCCCCGTGTCCTGTCCCCTCCGCCATACTCTCCCCTCCGCCATACTCTCCCCATCCCTCGCTCTCCCCCCTCCATCCCTCCACATGCGTGTGCAGCTGGACGACAAGAAGGGGCGCAACATGGAGATTGCTCTGCGCAGCATCAAGAAGGACCCCAGGGACCTTGTGGTACGACCCTCTCTCCCCCTCTGCCCCTCTCCCCCCTCTCCTCCTCCGCGCTTTTTCAACCCGCCCTTCGTCAAAGCAAAGCCACGGAACAGTGTGAGGGTTGACTTCCCGAGCTCAGGCTCTTCTCTACCATCCGGACCCTCGCCCTTCCCTTCATCTCACCGCCTCACTGAATATCGCTCCATGTGCGGTCTTGTCTCTCCCTGCCTCTGTCTCTGCCTCTGTCCCTGTCCCTGCCCCTGAGCCCCCCTTCTGCCCCCCTCCACCACTCCCCTCTCCCCCGCCCCCATCCCCCTCAGCGCTGTCTGCTGACGTTGGACGCGGCGGCCCTGGGCGAGTCGACGGAGTCGTTTGTGGAGACGCTGCTCAAGTGCCAGCCGTCAACCGACGAGAACAAGAAGCTCAAGGTAGCCACACCACACTGCCTCTGCTGCCCCACTGCCTCTGCTGCCCCACCACCTCTGCTGCCCCACCGCCTGAACCCTCTCGTTCCCTGTACTGGCTGTCAAAGGCTCCTCCCCCCTTCCACCACCCCTCTCGTGTCTTCTCTTACGTTCCCTGTCTCTCCCGCACTCCCTCTCCCCCCGTCGGCGTCAGGTTCTCTTCCCAACCCCCATCCCCACCCTGCTCCCTGCCATCTGTCTGCGACCCCCCAATGGACGTGAACCTCTCTTTCCCCCACCCCCCTTCACTACTCCCCCGGCGGGTTGTCTTGTCCTCGCATCGTGCACGGGACATTTTGCCGTGGACATCCCTCTGCGCCTACCGCTGACCCTCAGTGCCGTTTCTATGTGGTGTGCTGGGATGGCAATGTGTGATGTGTGGTTTGGTGTTATGTGGTGTGGTGTGGTGTGGTGTGGTGTGGTGCGATGTGGTCCTGCAGGCGTACCAAGGCGACTTTGATGAGCTAGGGCCAGCAGAACAGGTGCGCGTTGGAGCCTGTAGAGTGTTTTTGATCATTCTCAAAAACAGCCTGTAGACTGGGAAGGGGGGAAAACGGTTGCAGCAGGCACACAGAGCAGTGAGAGTGCCAAGTTACACACACGGATCATTCACACCATTGCTCACTGCACTGCGCTTTCTGTGCCGATCTAACAGTTAGCTTGTGCGCGTACTTGTGTCCCCACCATTCACCACAGCATGAGTCGTCATGCCTGCCATCCCGTTTCCTCACTGTGCCTTGGCCCTCCCTTCCCCCCCCCGTCCCCACCCCCCTGTGCGGGTAGGTGTTCCTGCTGCTGCTGCCGGTGGACCGCCTGGAGGTGAAGCTAAAAGTGCTGCGCTACCGCATCTTCCTCTCCGAACGAGTCAGTCACAACGCCTTCCCCGAACCTCCTCCACGCCCCCCCCCCCCCCCCCTCCCCTCTCCCCCCTCGCTCCCCGGCTCACCTCCCCACCCTCGTCCTCCTGTTTTTCTCTTCCCCAGTTTTGTGCTTCTCTATCCCCGCCCGCCCACCATTGCTCCACTCCATATGCTGCTTCCCATATCCCTAACCTTATCCTCTCTCCTCTGCTCATTGCCCTCTTCCTTGGTTCTCCAAGTCCCTTCACCCATTACGTGTGCAAACCTACTTCACCATCCTGATACGGATGGGAACTTGCGATGCCCTTTAGTTGTCAGCGACATTTTGACTGCCCACCCTAGCCTTACTCAGAAGTATCTTTCCGTAACCTCTCTCCACAAGCTCTTCCCTCTCCCTACCCCCAACCCCTCCCCCCCCCCCCCCCCCCCCCCCCCCCCCCCCCCCCCCCGATTCTCCGCCCGTTGTCTCTTTCTCTCGATCTCTCCCCTTGCCTTCCTGCCCTGTTTCCCCTCCATTTGCTTGGTGACAGAGCAAGGGACTGCTGGACACTCTTAACTTTGTGATCTCGGTGTCGGAGAAGGTGCAGCAGTCGGCGCTGCTCAAGACTGTGCTGCTCGTCATTCTGGAGATTGGCAACAAGCTCAACGAGGGCACCAGCAGAGGTGCGCGGGCACGCCAGGGCAGGTGGGTGGGCATGGGGCATGGCAGGGGGATATGGCAGGGGGATGGGAATGGGGCATGGCAGGGGGATGGGCATGGGGCATGCAGGTGGATGGTTCAGAGGGGCTTCCTGGTAGGGCAAGAAATGGCATGCAATGACATGCTGGGTGTGGATGGTAGTGCTCCTTGACACAGCCTATCTGCTAATGTGTCTGCCATTGGCCCTGTTTGTATGGCCACGTCTGTGTGCGTCTGTGTGCATGTGTGCATACGCCTGTGTCTGTATGCACGTGTGCGTGAACGCACATGTGTGCGTCCGTGCGTGTGCGCATGCATGTGTTTGTGTCCGTGCGCATGTGTGTGCGCGTGCATGCACATATGCGCAGGTCGAGTGGAGGGGTTTGCAGCCAAGGACTTGAAGCAGGTGGTGCGCACCAAGGGCTTCATGGCCTACCTCATCAAGGTGAGTTACGGGCCATCAACGCACACACTATCATCACATGCTCCACCTACACCCCACTTCCCTTTGGGACACCCCCCCATCCCCTTCCCCCTCTTCCCCCGCTCCCCCCCCAACCCACCCCCCGCCTCACACATTGCCTGGACTTCATACCATGCCGTTCGTCCCACACAACCCTCGCCAACCCTCTCCATCCCCCACTTTTCACATCCCCTCCTCCCCACAACACGCCCCCTTCCCCCGACCAACCCCCCCCGCTGCCGTCTCCCTGCAGGTGCTGGGCGAGGGGCAGCCGGAGCTGCTGATGTTCTGGAAGGAGTTCTTCATAGGCAACCGCAACCTGCTGGAGGAGGCCCGCAAGGTGGAGTTTGGCGCGCTGCAGGAGGCTGTGGCCGAGGTGGAGAAGGAGGCCGAGGCCGCTAAGAGGGAGCTAGTGGCTGTTGACATGCAGGTGGAGCGCGAGAGGGAGAGGAGGGAGAAGGAGGAGGCGGACAGGAAGACAGAGGAGGAAGGGGAGGGGGAGGAGGAGGAGGGGAGTTGGGAAGGGTTGAGTGAGGAGGAGAGGAGGAAGAAGGAGGAGGAGAAGGCGAAGAGGGCGGAGGAACTGGCTAAGGCTGATCAGAAGGGGAGGGAGCTAGTGTCAATGCATGAGGTATGCGAGAGGGCATTTTTGGTGATTGAATGGAAACTGGCCCATGACGCAGTGGCATGTGAATTTTGGCTTGCTGTGTGGGAACTTCCATGTGCGCCCGTTGCTGTCAACGTCTGGTGGAAAGCTGCCACGTGCACACGCTCTCTCCCTCTCTCTCCCTCTCTCTCTCATTCTCGCCCTCCGTCTCTCCCTCTGTGCCCTTCTGCCTGGCAGGCTCTGGAGTCGTTTATAAAGAACGAGGTGGAGCCAGTGCTGGCAGAGCTGCATGACCTGCGCACCCAAATGGTACGCTCTCCAATGTCCCCTTGCTCGCCCTCTTCTCTTTTCGCAGCTTGCAGGTATCCCCATCATTATCTCGAGTTCTGTCTCGCACACACACACACACGCGCGTGCACGCACCCACACACACACACATGCCCACATTCACACATACCCGCTCCCTTTCCCCCGTCCTGTCCTCCCCGGCCACATCTGCCATTGGTGCATGTGTGGTGGCGTGCAGACGGAAACAACAGCCACGCTCTCCCGCTACTTTGGAGGAGATGCCAAGACAGCTCCATTCACCATCAGTACGCTGCGTCCCGTCCACCACCTTTCTCCCAATCTTGTTTCTTGCCATCGTCTATCACTTCCCCCCCCGTTTCTGTCCCATCTCTGGTGCTATTTCCGTTGTCTGTTCTCCAGCTTGTCTTCTTCTCTACTGCCTCTCAGTCCCTCCGTTTTCGTTTCAAACCCCTCGGATTCCACATCCTCACTTCACGCCACATCCATCTCCATCTTTCCCTCTGACCAGTTGCTGAGGTGCTGAGCGATTTCATTGCCAAGTTTCGAACAGACCTGCTGGATTATGAGAAGAAGAAGAAGGCCCTGGAGGAGGAGCAGAGGAAGAAGAAGAAAGCACTGGAGGAGGAGCAACGGAAGAAGCAGGCCGAGCTGCTCAAGCAGCAGCAGCAGCAGCAGCAGCAGCAGCAGCAGCAGGCAGAGCTTGCCAGCGAGGTGGCTTCCAGCAGAGAGGGCTTAATGAGGGCTGTTAGTAGAGGGGACAAGGCAGCGGCTGCTGCGATAGCAGAGGAAGAGATGGAGAAGGAGGAAGCAGGTGGTGAGGCAGCAGGTGTGGGTGCGACCCCACTTGCACGAGCAGCTGTGGTGGCTGCAACCATGGCTGGACGGCGCACTGCCATGGAGGATGGCTCAGAGTCAGATGATGATGAGGATGATGATGACACGGTCGTGGTGGCGACACAGCCGCTCCAAGAGCCAGGGAGCGTGGGTTCCAGAGCATCGACAGCGGCTCTGTTGCGGGCGCATGTGCAGCAGCGGAGGGCGGTGGCGTTGTCGGATGGCAGTGATGAGGAGTCGTCTGATGAGGATGTGCCGCATCGCGCAGCAGCAGCGTCTATGCCGACGCCCTTGTGACCTGCAATAAGTACAGTAGTCCTCGTTATGGAGGAAATCTGATCCTACTGCTGTCATGGCTGCGCAGTGCACTCCCTGGTTGCGTGTGTGCTAGTGTGTTAGGGTACATGGCGGTAGTCTAGGGGTGGGCGGAGAGAAGGCTCTGTGCACGAAGTCCCATCATATTTGCCCTTGGGGATGCGAGAGTGAGGGCCACAATGGCGGGCTTAGGTAAGCTTAGGTGTCAATCCGTGCTGCACGTTCCATACATGTTTTAGTAGGGGTAGGTGTTTGGGGGTATGAATAGATGGAAAGCTCCAGGCATGTGCTCCATGCCTTGGTTTTCCCTTGCATGCGAATTCCAGCTCGGAGCCATGAATGTTCAACTTTATACAAAGATGGTGGAAGAGAACAACGGCTATTAGTGGTACTATTTCCCTGATGTTCATAAGAGCGCCGCAAATCTTTACTGTGCCTGGGTTTAGGGCTGAAGGAGTTTCGGTGAGTGGCGTTGTCTGGAGCCTGACACGGCGTCGCGTGGGAGGATTGTCCCTTGGATTTCTCGTGCTTACGTGGAACCTGCACGCAACCTTGTTCAGCAGGAGGTGGTTCCCCCCTCGATGAAGATTAGTTTGCCACCTTGCCAGGGTCACGAAGCCGAACTGACTCGTAACCCCTTTTCGCGTACACTCGTCCTTTCGCGCGGCAACAAGGAGCTGACCTAGGTGTTTCGCTGAACCTGGCCAGGTTCGGCAGATTGGCTTGGGAATTCCCCACAGGCCAGGCGTTCACTTCTGTTGGCTTTGTCAGCCCTGTCCGCTGGTTGGGTACCATGGTAGATCCAAGAGTGTTCTGCCACCCATAAGCTGCGAGGGGGATTTTTTCGCCAACTGCGGCTGCGTGCAACAAAGAAAGTCGCGAGACTGTCGCATGCTCTTGCGAAACTGTCTCCAACGGCACGTCCGTTTTCCCCCTGAACCTCCTTGTCCTCCCCTCCATGGCTACTCTCCCACCTTTCACATCCACTCAGGCACTCCAAGCTTCATATTAGGCACAAGAAACCCAGCAACATAGTAGTACACGCACAGATACTTGAATCTTCAGTGGATTCCCGTGAAGATCCGGATACCTGGAGCCGCGTCACAGCACCTGCCAGCTGGTTAGTTGTCGCGTGTATGCCCAGGTTCCCGCTCTTCGCTCTCATCGGAGTGGGATGACGCTTGTATGTGCTGGGTTCCTTATCGTGTCATCTTCCGTTGTAGCCTGTAACCCTAGATTTGTTCCATCTCTTATCGCATGCGCCGTAGTCCGTTTCGATCTGTACGAATATTACAACGCCTGTTTTTCTGTCTTGTGAGATCTTCGTATGCCCTGTGCTGGGCTGTCTTAATCTCCACCTGCATGTGATCCAGACCCTGAGTGCGGATTCACACTCTTGATGTCTCACCTGTAGATAAAAAAGACTAGGAACCCGTTTACGGGAGCTGCGATGCCCATTGTCCTTCCTCGGATCTGGAGTCTGTCAAAGTCTGTCTGGATCTGTCAATCCGTCTCGTCTTTTTTTGTCCACGCTCCCTCGTTGATTTTGCTGAGTGTATCAGCTGCGGTATTTGCCGAAAGTTGGATGGATGCGGTATTCACACCGTTTCGTCTCTAAGTTTGTCGTTCCCGGATTTTTGCCGTAATACCCCATATTCCTCTTTTTGGCCTGTAACGCCAGCCTTGGTTCGCTGCGTCGATGGGTTCATCCAGCTATGTTATATCGCATTTTGTCGCACGTTGGTTTCGTCTTACATCCTGACTTGAACGCGAGCGGTTCCGCTGTCCGTGGCTTTCTCGCAGGATGGCTGGGAACACAGGCAAAATTCGGTATGGAGTTCAGGAACGGCAGACGGCGGAAAAGCCAGGCGTCCGCGAATCATGGAAGACGGCGTCAAAACAAGCAGGCGCGGGGGGTGCGTCAGCAGGGTTTCCAGCCGGCGCGTACAATCCTATATCGGGGACCTTTCATAATCTGGCTGGGGGGAACCCAGATGGGTCAGGGAATTCGCAGAACGGGAGGTATCGATCTTTTGAGGAAGGGGACGATGCGGGAGGAGGAGGAAATCAAGAGAGTGATGTTCTGTCGAACAGCGGAAGCTGTTCAGGGGAGTCGGAAGACCAGACAGGGCTGAATAGGCCTGGTGCGACGTCGCGGGATGGACAGCAGCAAGCCTTGGCGGCGGTCCCTGACAAGAAGGACAAGATAAGGGCTAAGAACGAGAAGAAGCACCTTAGACAGAAGGAGAAGAAGGCTCAGGAGTTGAGGGACAAGTGCACTGGCTTCCTCACCGCGCGGAAGCTCGAGAGCTTGGCGGAGCAGCTGGTAGCGATGGGCTTCCCCAAGGACAAGTGCACGATCGCGCTCATCTGCAACGACGGCAACCTGGAGAGGTCCGTGACGTGGCTGCTGGAGGGGCAGGAGAGCAATGGGCGAGACGCGAACTCCGTGGGGAACTTGAAGCTAGATGTGACGGAGGAGCTGGCGCGCATGGCGCAGATGGAGCGCGTGGATGGGTACAACAGGACGGACATCGAACGCGCTGTCGTGGCCTTCGAAGGGGATCTGGACAAGGCTGCTGTGTTCCTTCGGGAGAAGCACCGGGAGACGTTGGCTCAGCAGCAGCAACAGCAGCAGCAGCAGCTGCTGCTGCAGCAACAACAGCTGCAGCAGCAGCAGCAACAACAGCAGCAGCAACAGCAGCAGCAACAGCAACAGCAACAGCAGCAGCAGCAGCAGCGTAGGGAGATGGGTACCGTGATATCTGGGTCGGTGGGTGTTGGTGTGTCCGCCGGAGGCCCCACGAAGTTTCTAGGCAGGGGCGTTCCCCCCACCGGTGGGTTGGTCGGGTCCGTAGGTCCTGGTTACGGCTACGGTCACGGGCACGGACAGGCTTCTGCGCACCCCGGCGCTCAAATCGGGCAGCCCCCGCTGATGGCATCGGGTATGTACCCTGGACCGCCGGGTAGTGGGCTGATGGGAAATGCTCAAGATAGGGAGGACGATAGGCGTTATTTGAACGGGCAGCATCCGGGCGGTGCCTCGCACCATCTCCCTCAGCAGCAGCAGCAGCAGCAGCAGCAGCAGCAGCAGCAGCAGCAGCAGCGCATGCTTCCTGTCATGGGATCGTCCGCCCACCGGCCATTACAACAGGTATCTGTGGATCCGGGGAAGATGGCGGGAAATGCTGGGCCTTACGCAGTCAGAGCTTCTGCGGGAATGGGTGTGGGTGGCCACCCGCAGGGCGCGTTCGCCAAGCACCATGTGCAGCCGCCGCACCTGGTGCAATCGGCTCAACTGCAGCAGCAGCAGCAGCAGGCGCACCCGGCACAGCAGATTCTCGGTGCGCAGCAGCTTTACGGGCAGCATCCGCAGCATCACCAGCAGCAGCAGCAGCAGCAGCAGGCGTTGCTCATGCAGAATCAGGCTCAGCAGAAGCAGATGCTTTCACAGACGCAGCCGCAAGGCCCTTCCCAACCGCACGCGCAGTACTCACAGCAGCGACAGCCGCAAGTGCAGCCGCAGCTGCAGCAGCATCCGCCGCCACAGCACTTTCAAGCGCAGCCGCCAGGGGAGCAGGCGCCGTTGCTGCATTTGCAGCAGAAGCAGCAGCCGGCCCCGGCGAAGCAGCAGCAGCAGCACGCTTTCTCGCAGCAGCAGCACCCTCGTCAGCCGCAGCCTTCGCCGCAGCAGCAGGCACAAGCATTGCAGGAAGCCAAGAAGCAACGCGAGCAGAAGCAGCCTAATGCCCATGAGTCCGCGCAAGAGCAGGGCTTCCATAAGCAGGATAAGAAGCAGTCGCCCGCCTCCACGCAGGGGCGGCAGCAGCATGTATCCCAGCAGCAGGCATCGCAGGATGATGGCGCAAGCCGTGGTAACGTTTCCGAGAAGCAGAAGCAGCAGAGCAGCGAGAAAGAGCCGCAGGGGACAGCTGCTGAGAGCGTTGGTCAGGCGCCTGGAGCAGCTCCGGCGGGGCAGGTTAGGCGCTCACCTGACGCCCGCACGCAGCAAGCTACCGCGGAGTTAGCTGCAGTGTCGTCGCAGCTCAGTGGAATGGGCGTGAGCAGCTACCAGGTTGGAACTAACCAGGTGATGTCTATGCAGGATCCTTCTGCTATTGCTAAGGGCGCCCTGTCTGGCACGGCAGGAGTGAGCCCCCCACCAGGTGCCTTCATGGCAGCGCAGGCTGCCCTTCAGCAGCAGCAGCAGCAGCAGCAGCAGCAGCAGCGACAGCCGGTGCCGCCAATGCAACATCAGCAGCAGCAGCAGCAGCAGCAGCAGTTGAGGCCGCTGGTGAGTAGTTCGCAGCATCTGAATCCCGGTTATGGAGTTGCGAACAGTTCGAACGCGCTGCTGCCAACGGCGGGGGTCCCTATAGCCTTCGGCCTGCTGAGTGGTTTGGGCGTTGGAGGGGCGCCTGTGCGGCACTCTGCAGCCCCAATGATGCACGTCCCTTCCATGCCCTGGACCGCTGCTGCTGCCATTCCACGTGGTCCGCCTGTCATGCCGGGTGGACCGGCGACGCTGACAGACGGAACCTGGAAGGGGTCTATGGAAGTAGGTGCGGGTCTGCCTGGTGCTCATTCCGCTCCCAGCCTCTTCCCGGCTTCAAGCACCTTGCCTGGAGGTGACCTGTTAGCGGCTCCGCATCAGGATCAGGGTCAGCAGCAGGGATCGCAGCAGGCACAGTTGGCGCAGCAGCAGCAGCAGCAGCAGCAGCAGCAGCAGCAGCAGGCACAGCACGCATGGCAGGTCAGGGGGATGTCCGGGGCAGCAGGAGGGGTAGGCGGGAACCTGTCCGCTGGGTGGAGCCCGTTCGGCGGAGGTTCAGATGGGGCCGACTTGCCTAGCAAGTCAGGTCTGGACCCTGCCTCGGGTCTCCCTGTGGGGATAAGTGCAGGGGCTGTGCCTTTCACTCCTGGTCAGCCGTATGTGCAACAGAGGGCTGGGGCTGCTGGTGTTGCGATCGGGTCTCGTCAGATGGGGGGCGTAGGCAGTGCTCCTTTGGATGCCACTGCTGCTGGGGTCGCGTCGGGTGCCTCGTCTGAGGTGCTTCCGACGTGGGGCGCGTCCACCACCCTTGCGTCCGTTGACTGGAGCCTTTCTGGTGCGCCTTTGGGTTCCCTCTCGTCCCTCTCGCCAGTGCCCGATGGCCCTGCTGGATCGGCTGCAGGCGCTCTGGGTGGAGCAGGATTCGGTGTGACGGGGACTGGCGGCAGCAGTGCGTTTGGGAGGCCTGGAGCCGGCTCTGCAGGCGGTATGCTGTCGGCTGGAGGAGTGTCGACTGGCACAGGTACGGCGGCTATGGTCAGTAGCATTCGGTCTGTAGATTGGAGTGTGTCGGGGTCCCTTCCAAACTCTGGCGCAGGCCTGGGAGGGGGTATGGGCATCTGGGGTGGTGGGACGTCTGGCTTTGCAGACCACACAGCGTCCAGTGGGGCACTTAGTGGTCTTGGTGGTGGGGGCAGAGCAGGGGGCATGCCCACGACTGCTGAGCCTGTGAGGGCGTATGATCTTTGGGGCCGGTCTGCTATTGCCGTGCCAAGCCATGTGGGCACTCCCTGGCAGCAGCAGCAGGGCATCCCTGTTCCATGGCAGTCAGACTCTCAAAAGGAGGAGGTGGGGGTAGGGGAGGGAGGATCGATGAAGGAGCACTCTGGAGGGGGGGCTGAGTCAAGGGCGGGCCAGCAGACTACTGGGGGTGTGGATAAGAAAGCTGGTGAGGCAGTGGAGGGGCAGGAGGGAGAGAGTGAGGGGCAGAAGGCAGACGTTGTGCAGGGGGAGCGAGAGGGTCAGGAAGTGCAACTTGGACTGGAGGGGCCGCACAAGGGTGCAGAGCAAGGAAGTGGGCAGGGTCATGAGGAGGGTGAGGCAGGCAAGGGTGGTCAACACAAGGCGGGGTCAGCAGTGGAGACCCAAGGGGAGCAGCAGCAGCAGTGTGATGTGGCAACAGCGGGATGGCAGCAAAACGCTGGGTCCAATGTTTCTCAGATGGGTGGAGATTCAGGGAGCAATGTACAGGAGTGGACGTCCCCGTTTGCGGGCAAGGACTTCACCTCTCTTCTGCATTCTGCTGTTCCTCCCCAGTTTTAGGCTCCATTCCTTAAGCCACATCTTTGCTGCTCAAATCCTTATTCTGCTGTTGCTTGGTAATGTCGTGGATGTGGATGTCAGACCTTGAATGCCGTGGATGTGGTCGGATATTTGAAGATGCTTTCTTCGTTTCCGTTTGTGCAATATTTCGTTCAGGTTGAGTTCTTGCTTTATGAAATCACTGCAAGCCCTGTCGCTTGCCCTGGTTATCACATCAAATTACGTTAGGCTCGGATATAATTGGCAGCAATTCAACAACAGGTCGCACAAGCCAGCCCTCCAGCTGCTCCTCCACTTGACGTGGAGATATGCGTTGAACGGGTGGCTTTCGTCAACCTCGGGGACCGTCGACTAATCGGAACCACCATCGGTCGGATGCAGTGGGTCTCACGTGGCGCCTAAAGTCTCTCTGCTGCTCCACAAGCACAAGCTGCCCGAGATTGCCGAACAGAAACGGGAAGCCTGAGTACGTGGCACGTGCTTGGCAGAGCTCCACGGTTCCCCACCGCGCGTGATTTCCATGAGGCATTGGCGTCCCCAAGGGGCAAGCCGTGTGTAGAAAATTTTCGACGTGCCCCTCGTTTTTTCTTTTTTCGCTTCGGCATTGCTGCGGGCAGCGAAGGCCATTACTGGTCAGGACTCCTGAGATCTACGGACCGCAGCACTCTTGGCCCCAGGGATGCGGCTCGATTTCAGTAACCAATCTTCAGTTGCGCCTCGGTTTGGGGAAGCAAATCAACTACAGTACTTTGCTCGAACCTCCACGTTCCCTCCCGGAGACAGCACTGCTGAATTGGACTGCCCGAAGAAAATTGCGCGAGGACCCCAAGGCTCGAACGTCCAGCTTTTCGGGCTGCTCGTGGAACAGAGACAGAATCTTGTACATTTGAAAGGCCCATTTTATATTTTACAACTAGCCCTTGGGCCCTAGAAAGCTCAGGGCAGGAGGATAATAACTTTACCTAAATTTGGGACTCTGATCAGGGGTCAAGGACGTGCGGGTCACGCTAGTTGATGTGGCAGTTCCGACGTTAGCCGTTTACAAAACAATATCACGCCTTGATTCCCAATGTGGAGGCACATTCACAAGGTACCCGGGTGAATGGAAAGTTTACAAGGCAAAATAAATATCGAAAGGTTGCTCTCGCCCATACTTCATGGGGCACACGTCCAACCCAACCACACCTTCCATTTCTGGTCCCTCTGTCGGGTGGTACAGTGAACTCCCTGGTGTTTTCTTAGCATTGGCGTTCTACTCCTAGTTTGTTCCACCCTCTCATCATTGACTGCTAACTCGTCCGCTTCTCTCCTCCGCCCGGCTTCATCTTCCTAGTGACACCCTAGTATCAGGAGAAAAAGCATGGCGAAACGCGTGGTGATTGCGGGTGGCGGCATCGCGGGGTCCCTGGTCGCAAAGCTGATTGAGAAAGACGCCGATGTGACGCTCATTGATAGGTGCTCCCCCTCCCTTCCAACCCTGCGCGCTCTCATCGCCGCAACTTGCCTCAGTTTTTTCCGCCGCTTAGCTTAGTCCGTCTTCCATGTGTTAGTCCAACGTTTTTTGGGAAAAGCAGTTTGTTGTCGTGCTCACCCTTTCTTCCTCCTCCTTCCGTCTCCTCGCAGCAAGGACTACATGGAAGTGCGGTGGGCTACGGTGCGAGCCTTCGTGGAACCCGCGCTGGCGGAAAAGATCGTCATTCCGCACTCGGCGTACCTGCACAAGGCCAAGGTGGTCACCGGACTCATTAGTGGCCTCACTTTCACCGCCAAACCCGCCGCACCAGCCGCTGGGGCGAAGGAAGAAGTCAAGGAAGAGAAGAAAGAGGCGGTGACTGAAGAGACGAAGGAAGAGGGTAAGGAAGAGGGTAAGGAAAAGGCTAAGGAGGAAACTACGGAGGAAATTAAGGAGGAGGCTAAAGAGGAGGTTAAGGAAGAGGCTAAGGAAGAGGCTAAGGAGGAGGCTAAGGAGGAGGCTAAGGAGGAGGCTAAGGAGGAGGCTAAGGAGGAGGCTAAGGAGGAGGCTAAGGAGGAGGCTAAGGAGGAGGCTAAGGAGGAGGCTAAGGAGGAGGCTAAGGAGGAGGCGAAGGAGGAGGCGCAGGAGGAGGCGAAGGAGGAGGCGAAGGAGGAGGCGAAGGAGGAGGCGAAGGAGGAGGCGAAGGAGGAGGCGAAGGAGGAGGCGAAGGAGGAGGCGAAGGAGGAGGCGAAGGAGGAGGCGAAGGAGGAGGCGAAGGAGGAGGCGACGGAGGAGGCGAAGGAGGGGGCGACGGAGGAGGCGACGGAGGGGGCGACGGAGGAGGCGACGGAGGGGGCGACGGAGGAGGCGAAGGAGGAGCCGACGGAGGAGGCGAAGGAGGAGGCGAAGGAGGAAGCAGTGACTGCTGATGCAGGCGCGGAGGAGAGTGGGAAGGGCGAGGCGACGGCGGAGGAAGAGAATAAGGAAGAGGAGGGGGAGAGGAAGGAGGAAAAGAAGGAGAGTCCGAAGGCGGAGGGTGGCGGTAGCGAGGGCGCCAAACCGGCTGCGGCGGCCGGCGAGGTGCTGCTGGCGGACGGCACGGCGGTGCCGTTCGATCTGCTCGTGGTATGCACGGGGTCCGAGCCTTACACCATCGCCACCAGGGACGACTGCCTCAAGTTCTACGCGCATGGTGCGTGCATGGCGCGTGGGCCCTGTCGGTGCTGCCGACATCTGTTCCGGGTAGGGTCGATGCAATGGGTACGCGTAAGCGAGTTCGTACAGTAGACGAAGAGAGGACTTGCAATGCTCGCTTTATTTTCTCCGCGCTCCTACGCTGCTCCCTCTCGTCCGAACTCAACCTCTGCTCCTCCGCGTCACTCCCTTTCCCCGCCTCCTTTCGTGCGCCGCCGTTTGTCACCCCCTCGCGTTCCAGAGCACGAGAAGCTGAAGAAGGCGGCGAGCGTGCTGGTGGTGGGCGGAGGGCCGGCGGGCGTGGAGCTGGCGGGGGAGATTCTCACGGACATGCCGGGGAAGAAGATCACGGTGGCGCACGCGGGCGCGCGCGTGTGCGAGTTCTTGAAGCCCAGGGGCAGCGAGAAGATCCAGGCGTGGCTCAAGGCGCAGGGCGTGGACGTGCTGCTCAACGACCGCGTCGAGGCCTCCTGGGGTGAGTGCCGCTGGGCTCACAGGTGCCATGGGGAGCGTGGGATAGTGCGGAGAGGCCATGGCACCTGCTGCACGTGAAATTTCACTGGGCAGTTGTGAGATGCGGCTGTCACATCTGGCAGTGGGGCAGCGTTTTGATTTTCCCCGTCCTTTGCTCTCGTTCTCTCTTTCTTTCCTTGTCTTGGCCAGACCAATTTGGCAGCAGTGGCACGTTCACAACGGCGTCAGGCAAGGAGGTGGCTGCAGACTATGTGGCCATTGCAGTGGGCACCCGCCCTTGCACATCCTGGCTCGCAGGTCAGTTGACGCATAGTCCTCGCCATGTTTCACCATGCCCTCACGCAACTGCAATTGCCTGCTGTGGTCCAGTCCCTCTTCGGATTCAAGCTGCTGCCTCTTATTCTCACCTGTCTCCACTCACCCCATGTTGCTTGTGTTGGCACGTGTGGCACAGACGCGCTGGGCCCAGCAGTGGAGAATGGGCGTGTGAAGGTGGACTCACACCTGCTTGTGGAGGGCCACGACAATGTGTTCGCCATTGGAGACATCACCAACATCAAGGTGCTCCTTCTCTCCTCTATTTCATATCACCTCCTAGTCGTTTCGGATGCTTCATAAGTACTTGCATGCCTCTTCTTTTCCTTGCGCGTGCTATTTTTTTCTTCTCTTCGTGACCAAGCTGCCTCATCATCCCATGTGCTCCCCCTGTTTCTGAAAAAATTAAACATGTGCAGGAGAACAAGCAAGGTTACTTCGCCCAGGAGCATGCCCGTGTGGTGGCATCGAACCTCCGCAAAGTGCTCAAGAGCAATGGCAAGGCCACCGGGTTCAAGTCGTACGCTCCGGGCGCAGATATTGCCATAGTTTCTTTGGGCCGGAAGCAGGGACTGGCACAGCTGCCCTTTGGCACCTTCATGGGGTGGGTGCCCACCAACATGAAGAGCAAGGGGCTCTTTGTCAACAAGATTCGGGCTGAACTTGGAGTCAAGTAGAAATGGTTTTAATGGTTAAAATAGATTTGATTTTCTTTATTCGGTTAGTTGTTTGCGCTAGAACATGCATGTAGCTTGTAGTTTATGTAGATAGGGTAGGATAAATAGTGTGTTTTTTATCATTTATAGTATAATTCTGTTTCGTGTAACACTTTCAACACCGAGTCAGGGCCAGTTGTCGTGGAACACTTTTGAGTGGATGCGCGGAAAGGTCTTCCCGCTTTGTGGGCTGAGATGCTGAATAGGTAAGGGCGCGTATAGAAGTGATGCAAAACCTGACGTCAAGAGATGTGACGTCAGGATTGTTAAAGTAGGAACTAAGCAGTGCGCAGGAACAAGGCCGCCATGAATGTGGCGGCGGGGTTTAGCTAGGAGAGTAGGCGAGAGTGTCGAGAGAAAAAGGGGATTGACTAGGAAGAGAGTGTCAAAGTGAGAGCGAATGATTACTAGAAGTGGAAACCTAGAACAAATACTAGTAGGTTGTACTCACTAGAAGCATACCTCTGTCTAGCCTATAACTTCTACATAGATAATATGTATAAGTTGACACACCCCCTAGGCTAGACAAGGGGTGAAACTAAACAAGAAGCAAACAACTCAGGGCGGCACTACTAGTCCAACCACTGAGGCAGGGGTCTGGAGACCAGTCAGCAAGAATACAACCAAAACTGAAGCAAGCCAGGGTGGCACTACTAGTCCAGCCACCAGAGTTAAGGCCACAAGGCCAGTCTGACAAGCATATATAATAGAGAGTACACAATCAGGATCCTAACAGGGGAGCAGCTACAGGAACAAGACCAAGCTGTACACAATGCCGCTGATGATCTTTAGGCGCAAGCGCCTTAGTAAAGATATCAGCTGTGTTGGCACCTGAGGCCAAGTGAACTACGCGGGCCTGGCGGCGCTGCTGTAGCTCGCGCAGGAGGAAGTACCGCAGCTGGATATGCTTCGCTCTGCCCTCAAGCCGAGGCTCCTGACACAGGAGTATCATGGCCCTGTTGTCAGCGTACAGGACCGGGGCAGAGCTAGGCCGCTCACCTAAGTCAGTGAGCAAGAAGGTCAGCTAGCGGAGCTCCTGTGCCGCCATGGCACCAGCGTAGATCTCAGCCTCACAGCTAGACTGAGCCACAGACGACGAGCGAGTGGATCTCCAAGAGATAGCACCCGAACCAAGGCTGAAACAGTAGCCCTGCGACGACCTGAGCGTCTCAGAGTCGTCTGCCCAAGAAGCGTCTGTGTGCCCAGTAAGGACCACTGGCCTGCGTCCTCCTAGCACTAACCCCATGCCCGATGTACTAGCAAGATAACGCAAAACCCTCTTAGCGGCAGACCAGTGCTGAGGTCGGTGTCTGTCTGTAGCCACAAAGCGAGCCAGGATGCTGAGAGGGTATGCGAGATCTGGGCGAGTGCAAGTCATCAGGTACATGAGGCAACCCACCAGCTCTGCGTAGGGGCCACTGGGCTCTACTGGCTCCTCAGGAACGGGAGCAGAGAGCCCATGGTCTACGGGTAGAGGTGTGGGCTGTGCGGAGGAGAACTGAAGACCGAACCTCTGAAGGACCTGACGCACCAAGTGTGACTGGGTCAGAGTGATGGTGCGTGCTGCTCTGTCCCTAGAGATCTGCAGGCCAAGATAGCGACGCAGCTCTCCAAGGTCAGTCCAGGTGTGTCTCTTCAGCAGCTCAGCCTTCACAGAGGCCAGTGCGTCCCTATCAGCAGTAGCGAAGACCAGGTCGTCTACGTAGACAAGGATGTAGAACGGAGTCTGGCCGGAACGCACAAACAGTGAAGGGTCAGCAGAGGACGGAAAGAACTGCAGGTCTGCTAACGTGACACGTAGCGTGTCGTGCCACTCGCGGGGAGCCTGACGCAGGCCGTAGACCGGGTGCCTGAGAAGCCACTGGGTCCCAGGAGGGAAGGTACCAGTAAAGCCCTGTGGTCGGCGCAGATTGACCTGCTCGTGTAGGCTGCCCTGAAGAAAGGCAGTAGAGAAGTCGAGGGAGTGAAGCTCGTAGTCACGCTGTGCTGCTACGTGTAGCAGCGCCCGAAGAGTGGTCATCTTCGGGGTCGGGGCGAAGGTCTGGAAGAAGTCAACCCCCTCGCGCTGACTGAAACCTCTGGCCACGTAGCGCGCCTTGAAGACAGGCGGCTCTCCAGGGGGGCGCTTCACCTTGAAGAGCCACCGACCATCGACTACGTTCACCCCAGGCGGGGGAACTGCGTCGACGTAAGTGCCGGTGGACCTCCAAGATGCCATCTCCTGCTCCATGGCAGCTATCCACTGAGAGGCCCAAGGTCCCGAGGTGGCCTCAGCGTAGGTGCGAGGGGTCGGGATGTCGAAGGCGTCGGGGTCACCCTCAGGGACTAACAGCATGGAGCAGAGATGGGGAGCAGCCTCGGAAAGGAAAGCAAGCTCGTACTGCCTGTCCTCTAGGACGTCACTGCCAAGGGCAGGAGCACCCCCGACGGACGGAGGACGGGCAGGGTTTGAGACCTGAGCGGTAGCGTAGTCAAGGCGGCGGGTAGAGGCGAAGTCAGCGACAGCAGCGACAAGCGCGTCAAGGCGCGAGACAGGAACAGCAGGGTCGGTAACAAGAGAGGCAAGGACCCGAGGGACAAGGGGACGAGCAGCACGGAGGTAGTCAGAGAACGGAGGAGGTGCAACAGCAAGGGACGAGGGAGGAGGGGACGGGAGGAGGGGAGGACGAGACGAGCGGGAACGGAGCAACATAGGGTGGGTGGGCAGGACAGGAGAGACGGGACGAGCACGGGAGGGACGGCGAGCCCAAACGTGAGACGGAGGTGTAGGGTCAGGGGACAGCGGAGGAGACACAGGAGGGGAACGAGAAGGAAGACGGGTCGGAGACGAGTCCGGCGGCGGGAACACAGGACCGTAGACAGGAAGCTCAGCAGGCGGTGGGGGAGACACCGGCGCGCGGTCCGGGGAGGGAAGGTCGAGCAGGCGGAGAGCGGAGACCGGCGGCGACGGCTGCTGTGGCGGCGACGACGGCTGGGCCGGAACTCTCGGACCAGCAGAGGCGGAACGACCGTCGGCAGAACACTCAACAGCAGCACCCCCATAACCAACACCCCCAGAGCGAGAACCCCCTCCAACACCAGCGGCACCCCCAGAAGCCGCAGGACGAACACCCTCCTCCACACCAGCACCCCCAGGGGCCAAGAGCGGCGGCGGCAGTGGCGGCGACGGCTGCGGCGCGGGCGACAGCGGCGACGGCTGCGGCAGCGACGGCGGCGGCGGCGGCGGCGGGGTCGGCGACTGCGACAGTGGGGGCGGAGGCACCGGGGAAGGGGGACGCGGCAAGGACGGACCAGGGGTACCACCAGAGTCATCAGACTCCTCAACGGGGACAACCGACGGGAGGGGAGTGACGTGAGAGACACCAGACGGGGCAGGACGAGGCGGGAGAGCGGCAGGGGCTACCTGGGGAGAGGGAGCAAGGAACAGGGGGGGGGCAACTGGGAGACCTCGGTGAGGGAAGCGACGGTAGAAGGAGACGGACTCGTCAAAGGTGACGTCACGAGAGTGGAGGAAGCGGTGAGACGGCGGGTGGTAGAAAAGCCAGTCAGACGAGTCCAGGGGGAAACCGAGGAAGACACAGGGGACAGTGCGGGCAGTGAGCTTGTCCGTGCCAGAGGCACGAACGTGAGCAAGGCAGCCCCAGACGTGGAACGCAGACGCGTCACCGGGGGACCCGGTCCAAAGGAGGGTCGGCGAAACCTGCGGCCGCTGGGAGCGTGGCCACAGGTTAAGCTGGTGAGCAGCGTAGCGAACAGCGAACGGCCACAGAAAATGGGGGGCATCGGCATGGATCATGGAGGTACGGGCGACCTCCATGACCAAGCCGATGCGGCGCTCAGCAACCCCATTTTGCTGTGGCGAGTCCGGCAACGTGTACGACTGGGTGATGCCCTCTGCACGACAGAACTGTCCAAGCCGACCAGAGGCGAACTCGCCGCCACGGTCGGAGTGGAGACACAACACGGGGAGACCGCGGTGGAGACGCGCAGCCACAACCCACGGGAGAAGAACGTTGGGCACGTCGGCCTTCCGCTCCAGGGGAAACACCGTGGTGTAGCGCGTGTAGTCATCGACGAGCACAAGGAAGTAGCGCTCACCGCGCGGTCCGGGGACGGGGGCAGGGCCCCAAACGTCCAGGTGCAGGGTCTGAAGGGGGCGGGTAGCAGGACGCAGCGAGGAGGAGTGAGGAGCACGGCGGAGCCGACCCTCGACGCAAGGCGTGCACGGTGGCGCAGTCGAGGGAAGAAGGGCAGGGAGCGACGCGGGGAGACCTAAGACAAGACCGTGCTGGGACATGTGACGCAGACGTGGGAGAGCAGGGTGACCTAAGCGGTGGTGCCAGAGAAGGGAGGGTGAGTGAGGGACCGACACGTGCAAGCTGCAGCGACCTGGGAGGACGCACCAACCGGGGGGGAAGCGGTGTCTAGGGTAAACAGACCGGACACCGGGTCCCGGGGGAACGTCGCAAGGGGGGAACCT